TTTTCCTAACATTTTCCTAGTAACTCCTCCCCATGTAGCACCAACTTGTGGAACTAAGAAAGCTAACATACTTTACTTTCACTGACTAATAATCCTGTTTAAACTAGAATAAAATGGTTCTTTAAAAAATAACCTTTTTATTGAAAATATGATTAGTACTTATCAGTCTTTTAAAAAAGTTTCTTACTTTAAAAGATTTGCTATCATTTGGGGGCGATGTTTTAAGCAGTAAATCAGACATGTCAAACTTGCGAGTCACATGACGTCGCACGACATATCGGAACTTTTTCCCCATTGCCGGCAATGGGGTGGGTGTGGTTTCCTTGTGATGTGTCCGGCCCATGGGCTGGTAGTTTAACACCCCTGCAATAAATTATGCAAGTCCAGCTAAACTATTTCAAAATTTCAGATTAGCTGATTGGCCAGAAAAATTGGAGACTTAGCATGAAATCAATTTCTAGTCACTGTTGCTTAACAGCATGTTTCCTATACAGGTAGTCCTCAACTTATGACCATAATTGAGCCCAAAATTTCTATTGGTAAGTGACACATTTGTTAAGTGAGTTTTGCCCCATTTTACGACCTTTCTTGCCACAGTTGTTAAGTGAATCACTGTAGTTGCTAGGTTAGTAACATGGTTGTTAAGTGAATCTGGCTTCCCCATTGACTTTGCTTGTCAGAAGGTTGCAAAAGGTGATCCCATGACCTCAGGACATCGCAACTGTCATCTGAATTTTGATCATGGAGCCATGGGAATGCTGCAATGATTGTAAGGGTGAAAAATGGTCATAAGTCACTTTTTTCAGTGCATTGTAACTTTGAATGGTGACTACATGAACTGTTCTAAGTCGAGGACTATCTGTAATGGCAGGCATGTTGTAAGCATATGTATGTATTCTACTTTCTCTTTTCTGTGTTGGAAGTGTGGGAGGCAATGCATTCTGGAAAGTATGTTGGATTTAAAATTTCCTATATTTGAAACAAAAACTTATGCAAATATGTCATGTCAAAAGTACATTGACACAGCATGATATTAAGAGCAATAAGAAAGCACATTGTAAAGTTCCCTCCAGGAAAGATTTTGTGCAGAGTTGCCAAGTAACTTATCCTTGATATACTGTTCATATTCTGGCTTTCAAAATCCAAGATACTTAATAGTTTAAAATAGCTTTGGTCCTGCTGAATGCAGAGATTCAGCATTCTTCCATATATAGTAATTGAAATAACTTAATTGTTATATTTGATCATCATAAAAACCATGTAGATAAATGATAAATAAAAATGTACTTCATCCTTGACCTTGTTAATATTGTATGAAATCTTTAATATTTAAGTTCTGTCATAATTGTACCATCTTGCTATTTCTTACATTTAGGTTTGTTCATTTACATAATTTTTAAATTGCATTATAGTAAATTGCATTAGGCCAATAAGATAACTGAAGTCCATTTTCTTTCCATTAACTAAATAAATTAACTCTACTTTTGGTAAATAAAATAGTTTCTATTCATTGGTTGTGTACTGTTTAATGTAGAAAACTAATGAACATTTATTTGAGATTTTGGTGGTACCGTATATTATTTTTAATAATGGATCATATCTCAAAAATTGAATATTAATAGAAGAAATATTTCACTATTGCAATTGATGCAATTAAAAACACCATTAATTGGAATAGCTTGGCTGGTTTAAAACACAAGGCCCGCAGGCTGGATCCGGGACACAATGGGTCCATATCTGGCCCGTGGGGCTGCCCTGGAGATGGTGAGGGACCAGCTCCCGTTTCCCTGGCCCCGGCCCAGCCCGGCTGGGGGACCCCCGGCATGCACACAAGAGGCAGCGAGTGCGCTAAGGCCGATGGTGTCCGGCAGCAGCCTCAGCCCACCGGCCCCTTGGCCTGTGCACTCTGGGGCTGTATAGCCCACGCAGTGCAGATGAGTTAGAGTGCTGCGACCAGTGGGCTGGCCCTCCAAGCAGCAGGTGAAGGCAGAGGTGCGGGGGGAGGCATGCAATCCAGATGTACTGTGTGGCCCCCGCCCACTCCATCTCACCATCTGTCTTTGCCTGCCTGTGGCTGCAACGGAGCAGACGGCTGCATGTCATGTTTGGCAGGTGGGATCGCATGCCTCCCCCTGTGCCTCTGCCTGCTACTTGGAGGGTCGGCCCGGTGGTCATAGCGTTTGGACTCACTTGCGCTGTGCGGGCTGCATTATTGAATAGTAGCTTGGAAAATTCCTAACTTCAGGGTGCTCTGTCAAACATGTATTAATATATTACTAAGCGCAAGTAAACTATCTAAAACCAGATATCCATTGTCGGGGAATTGCGCAACCGATGTTCAAATGGAGTCAGAGACGCTGACAAAAACTTTTGGTTTTATATAAATAAATATATTTACAGCAAATAAGAGAGGAAAACAGGAGCATAGTCAGGTAAATCCACACAGCAGGAACATCATCAGGTAAATCATAGAGAGCACACACAGTACTCAGAGGAAAAAAGGCAAGGAAACTCCCCCTTTTCCCTCACAGCAACCAATCACAGCTTAGGTTGTCAGGTAGCCTTATGTAGTGGCCAGCTGTCTTTAACCAATTAGCTATAACTATGTGTTCTTACTCATTGTCCAACACTTCACTGCTCCAACTATTGCATTTTATATATGTTAACATCCATGTCTATTTATTATAATCTGCAAAATCTGGAGCTGGATGCTAACATTCTTGCAAATAATATTACCTCTGATGTAGTTCTTTGGCAAACAAAATCTGGAAAAATATTTTAAATGCCTAACACCAGTTTCATGTTTTGAGTCTTTTTTTCTAACTTTTTCCTAATAACTCCCCCCATGTATGTAGAACTACGTTGTGGGACTAAGAAAGCTAATTGACTTTACTTTCACTGACTAATAATCATGTTTAAACTAGAATAAAATGTTTCTTTTAAAAAAATTTTGAAAATATTTATTGAAAATAAGATTAGTACGTATCAGTCTTTTTAAAAAGTTTCTTACTTTAAAAGTTTTGTTATCATTATGGGGTAATGTTTTAAGCAGTAAATTATGCAAGTCCAGCAAACTATTTCCTGTTTAAACAAAGAAAAAAAGGGGGAAAATGGAATAACATTCACTTCCTGAATGACAGCATTCCAGTTCTGAGATTGGCTACAGTATAACCGCCAATCAGAAGACTCCTTAGAGGGATAATTTCGAATGCTGTTTACATGTTTTGTGATTTCTCGTTCTCATTTCTGGTGGTGTACAATTCGAAAATGTCTTGATTCATTCTGCTGAACATCTGTATGAATGACCATAAAAGTTTACTTTCTGCACAGCATAACAACATGAAAGGAAAGGATTGTATGCTCCTCTGTAATTTCAGGTATGGTAATTACCAGGTTGTGAAGACAGAAAGAAAAGACTTCCCTATGGAAAGCTTTTTTAAAAAACTAATTTTATTAAAATTTACAAATAGATAAAAAATCTAAGAAAAATATAAAAAGTTTAAAAAAAATAGTAAAGGAAAGTAGAAGACAGAAAACAGAAAAAAATATAAAAGATGACTTCTTAAGGTTGTATCTTGAATGTTGACTTTGTTTTTCAAACATAGTTTTAGTGCTAATTATTTATGTTGCTATGTTGTCATGCATCAGTTGCTAGGAATAGACACCAGTAGGTACTTTTGCTTGCAGAATAGAAAAATGACGTATAGATTAAAAACTACAGCATAGTTTGACAAAATAGCAATACAAGAAATGAAACAGGTGAGGATATTCTGTTTATTAAGCATGATGTTACAGTGTAAAAAATTGTATTAAAAGTATTTTAACCTAGTTTGGCAGCTTATAACATGAAATAAGACCTTTATATGGTTCCAGATACTATAACTTAAAGTACTCTTTTGGAAAAATCTTTATATATGGAAAGGGGACTATATGTTTATTTATATAGCAGTTATAAAGTTATAAAGCAATACATAGTTGACATATGCTATAAAAAGTAAAAAGAAAGGTTAATGGAAATACTTGTAATAAGATTTAGCGCAGATTACTGTGCTGGTAATATTTATGTGTTTTTATATTTGAATATCTGTATTTGTAAATTTCCTGTGAGAGCCAGTTTGGTGTGGTGGTTAAGGCATCAGGCTGGAAACAGGGAAACACAAAGCCAGCCGGGTGACCTTAGGCCAATCATTTTCTTTCAGCCGTAGGAAGGAAGCAATGGTACTTCTGAAAAACCTTGCCAAGAAAACTGCTGAGACTTGTTCAGGCTGCCTCTGAAAATTGGACAGGATTTTATGGAAGAAAAAAAAATTGTGAAAAAAAGTAGCATAGAATATTGTATTTTGCAGAGGAAATGATCTGTCTTGGGGAACTGTTTATATTTTGATTATATATACAGTAGATTCATCATATTTTTAAAACTCCAAAGTGTTTTCTAGTATAGTATGATTTATAAATATAACTAATGTTCACGTCATCTTGCCCAGTACGTGCAGTCTTCTTACTAAAAAGAAAATAAGTACTAATAACACTTCTGTGGATAAAGAACAAAGAAAGGCTTAGATGCCTCTAATTCCAGAAGATCATGGAGAATGGCATAATAGAAATATAGTCGTTATTTGTAGGAACTGTTACTGCCACTGAGTATTTCTCCCATCCTTTCCTAGGGTCTGCCAGCTGTGATTCATGAAATGATTCTTAGGCGCTGACTAATTCTGTGGTTTTCTTTTCCATTCCTCTGCTACATTCTTTGGAAAACTGTTGGGTTTTTAAAAGAGGACAGCATCTGTTAAACATAAAAAACAAACTTAACAAGCATAAAGAAAATTGTATTTCTGAATGATACGCTTAAATATCCTCTGCAGATGTTTTTGTTTCTTTCAGGCAAAGTATCCCCTACAAAGTAAAATCTAGCTTTTAAAAATATCACTTGAAAGTACGTTCACATCTGAAGGATAGCTAACTAAATTAACGTATTTATGGACATGTTTTTTTTCTTCTAGATCGTTCAGAAAGAAATAAACCAGACCACCGTTCATCAGGGTGAGATTGTTTTCCTGTTTTGGGGTGTGTTTATGTTTTTCTATACTGTACCAAAAAGAATTTAAAACATTGTAATTAAATGAAAATATTAAAAACATTAATTTTGCATTTTAGATTTGCTCTGGTAATTAAAGTGTATAAAGGATCACATGGAATCCTTTCAGATTTTCAAATAGGGTAAATATTTTATTGGCTCCATATGTGTTCTCTTTCTATTTCTTGCATATAATTTTCAGTATATAGGACTGAAAATATAGAAACAAAAAAGGTATTCTAAAATATATAGAAACAAAAAAGGTATTCTAAAATATGCAAAGCTTTAATAATTGTAACAAAGGGACATAATTCTGCTTTTTTAGTGATCAGTATGCCACTTAAAGACCAAATGTGCCCTTTACCCTAGAAAATTTCTATATCCTTGACTCAGTACATTTTACAAACTATGATTAAAAATACCATATCATAATCTGTGAATGTAGCCACTGAAAGATATAGGGATATTATGGAACTTAAAATAACTAGAATGTATTATTTTGTAGCATTTATTTATTGTATAATTAAGCATTGAAAACCATCCACATGTCCTTGTAGAATAGAATAATGATTAGTCTTATGAGCTTATCAATAAAATAAAAAAATACATAATCTTATTCTGGAATAAAATAGTTAAAAGAAAATATAGGGGTAAAATACATATGTGGTAATACCATACAAGGAGCACAAGCCGTTAAATGCATATCTCTCATGTGAGTCTATTTGTCTTTTTTATGTATACAACTTGCATTACAGAACATTAGTCTCTGCTTCATCTTATCTATGATCATCTCAAAGATTATAAGCAATTTAAGATACCTCCTGAAGATATTAGCACCCACTCAGTAAATGTAAACAGCTCAAAAATAAGAAAGATAGAGATAAGGTTCACTTGAAAATTGTTACAATAACCTATGGGTAATGTAATTGTACTTCATGTAAGCATGCTTATACATGGGTGGATATCACTAATCAATTAATCAGCAAATGGAAAATTTTACTTTTTTATAATTATAAAGAAATATGAAAGGGTTATAATCTGATTTGATTGCTGAGACAATGTTTTTTATCCACCAAGTATTTTGTTAATTTTAAACTACTGAATGCTGAGCCCTTTAAGATATTATTGCTAAAACTGTTTCAGTTTTCTCACATTTCAAGGTTGGAAATGTTTTTGACTAGGACAAGGTCATATGTAATTTAACTAAGGGCAATATATGTCTTTAGGGCCATAGGTTGCTTAATCTTATGTCTAGTTTAACGGGCTGTAAGCATTGTTATTCTTTGGTTTTTTTTAACACAAGGAATATAGGTGCCAACAGCAAGGAATTTAGTAATTACTTGACTCTTTTAGTGCATACTTTGAGGTGATATGAAAGCTTTAATTGGCCTGCTTCTCTTGTAAGATATTTTATAATAATTACTCAAACTTAGTTGAAACTGTGCAGTAGGAAACTATCATAGTTGAATCAAGCTTATAAAAATACACCAGACTGAGGAGTATTGTGTTAAATATCTGTGTGACAGAAAAAAACAACATTTATACCTCCAACAGTGTGAAATGTGACAGCCCTGTGTCATATAGTTTAGACATCACTCCTGTAATTTACAACAATTAATAAACGTCAGGTTAAAAAACTCATGAATATTCAGAGCTAAGAAAAGCCTCTGTAGAAAAGAAAGTTTTATGTGGATAAGACAACTCTTTACACTAGGCTTTATATTTTATCACTTCTAATTTCTAATATAGCATGCTTATTAAAGTAGCCAGTCCACAGGAGTCAGAAATGGTTTTAAAAATTCAAATAAAATTGTAGCTTTGCTAACTGAACTTAAGCAGACTTAGCTGGCTAAACCTATCAGGAATCTTAATATTTGAGGACATTTAGAGAGCAGCGTCCTAACACAGAGGTCCCCAACTTTTTTAGCGCCAGGGACCGATTCCATGGAGTGAAGTTTTTCTGTGGACCGGAGGGGGCGTGGTTTCATGTACTGCCTGCATCTTGCGGATGGGGCTTTGCTTGTTTGTGCGGCCCGGTTTCTAGCATGCTGTGGCCCTGTCCTAACACACCAGAGATAAATCCAAATTGAACAATAAATAATCTTGGGTAATTTGATCAAGTATATTTCAAGTGAATCTGTTTCAGTATCTGCCTGAGCTATTACAAAATAAGGCTTACCAATATCCTGAGCAGTGAAAATAAAAGTTCCCTAAGTTATGTTTATTTGACTATTCTTACTTATGTTATTAAAAGACAGCCTCCTAGGGATAAAATATGGTAGTTAAATGATAATTTGAATTTGTCCCAGTCTCTGAATGGTCAAATAATTCTATCCTGAGGTTATTCTGGCAATTCACTAAGGCATGTAGTTGTAAAGCTCTTGAAAATGGGTTTGGATAATGTTTCTGATAGGGTTTGACACACCCTTAAAAATGGTTTCTACAACCTGAAAGCTACATACATGTTCAATGACAGTTACAATATTGGGAGTAAGACAAATAGTCCAGCTTTTTTGGAGTAGGTTGCAGGAGAGTTTGAAGAGCCATTTCTTGACATAGATTTTAAGTGTTTTAAAGGATAATGGGAATTGTCATAATTCCCCCTTTCCCAATGGCTGCTCCTGTTAAATGTAGCATTATTTTAGTTTAAAAGGTTTCTGGATGCCTTAAATATTAACCTCTACATACTGGGGCTGACTTTGGGTCAGTCACTCTCTCTTAGCCCAACCTACTTCACAGGATTGTTGTTGTGGGAAAATATGAAACGGGATAGGGTTAGGGAATATTAGATATGTTTGCTGCCTTGAGTTGTTTGTAAAAAAGTAATAAAGATGGGATACAAATAAATAAAATAAAATATGTACAAATGAAGGTAAATGTTGGTCAGCACTTAAAAATGTGATTGCATTTCATGAGTGAATCATGGGTTAAGATGTAAGAGTTTTGTGTTAGGATATAACAAGTATTGTTTTCTTCAATGTAATGTAGTAGAAATGCAATTAGAGACAGGATAACAACATTAAACATTTTGTTACTATAGCTCTGCACACTATACTATTGCATTTGGAAAAACAAGTTTAGAAGAGGTGTGGTTGTATCACACTAATTTAGAATGTCTGCACATTGCATATTCATAAATGGTCACTCTTACAAGTTTGTACTTCAAAATGTATAAAGGGTGTAACTCAGTTGAGTCAAGGAGAATTTGGAACAAGCTGTTACTGAACACAAAAATAATGTTTTTGTAGAAGAGATTCTTCCTTTTATAAAGATTTTATCTGAAAATAATCTAGTATAAAATATGGAAGAACTGCTGGAATGGATTCTCTGGATCTTAAAAACTTAAAAGTGTGAAGTTTTAAAATTGTTTAGATTCTGATCCACAAAGCTTATTTCCAAACACATTTGTTTTATAGCATTAATGCTTCAACAATAAATGTGTTGCTATCCTATTTTCGCTTTTGTTGTATTGGAACCCATAATAATTTAATTTAATGTTTTTATCATATTGCTATACTGTACAACGTTGAAATATACAGTGTTGTGCCTTATTTTATGTTGAAACCCCAAACTAATTTGCCCATCTGGGAGAGCTAGTATTTAAGAACAAAACTAATTTTATGAAGGATAATTCATCATTAATATCCTCATAGTTTCAAATGAGGAATAGATGAAGATCCAGAAAACAAGTCAGTGATTCACTCCTATGTGAGATAACAGAATCATAGGGATTTTTAACCTCCTCTGTTATTATAAGAACAATTGCAGATGCTTTCATGAAGTTTTTTTTTTCTTGTTTGTGCTTGGGAATTAAGAACTTAAGAGAATTAAAACAGTGATGAGCATATGGTGTTGTTGTTGACAATAGGTGACAAAAAAATTAAAGGTCCTTTTGTAAGCATCTTTTTAGAAACGAACTCTATCACATTTGGTAGATTTTATAATGCCTACAAAAAAATTATTTTTCCCACTTCAGAAATTTCCACAAAAATATTCTTTCTTCTCAGTTTTCTGTATTTCTGCTTAAAAAGAGAAGAGGTTATTTGTTCCTACTCAGAGCAGGCATCTTCAAAATTATAGTAGAAAACACACCTAATCCGCAAGGGACACTCTGTTGTTTGCCTTCACTTCTGGAGTTGCTGATCAAGTCAGCTCAGATTTTAAAAAGGGTTAGAAGCTGTAAAGTGAGAATGGTTGCCTCTCTTTTCTTCTCTTGATGACTTGAAAGGATCAGAAGGGTTGCTGAAGTGATATGATGCATTGAATAGGAAAATAGGAAATAAAAAGTAAAAATAAATGTTCTACTACAACTTCTAGACCTATTGCCTCTCATTCTTGGGTAATGTATAACCTGTTAAACAGGCTTTTTTCCTCCTGTATTATTCTCCCTCATAGTATATGCATTAATCTGTTTTCAGTTAGACTTCATTACTGAAGCACAATAAAATTATACAGATCAATTTAGTTGAAGAATTTTCAAGTTAATGTGAAATATATTTCAGGATAAAAATATAAGAGGGAAAGAGAATCATAATATGTCAGTTAACATTGTATTATGTGGACTTCAGCAACCAAATTATCAACATCCTCTTGGTGCTGCCCAGAAAATTTTAAAATAACGCTTCATAGATATTTTGCAAAAACTATGTGCAATTTATTGCTTTAATAATAACCAGAGAAACTAAATGTTTGTGGTGACAGCTGTTTTATTGTACATACTGTTCTAGGGTTGCCTTTTGTTTTTTATTTTTATTTTTTGCTAAAGCTCAGCATGCAGTAGATCAAAATAAAGCTATACAGATTAAAACAATAGAACAGTGATGGTGAACCTTTTAGAGACCGAGTGCCCAAACTGCAACCCAAAACCCACTTATTTATCGCCAGGTGCCAGGTGGGCATGGCCCACTGGATGGGCATGGCTGTGGTGGTCATGGCAGATTGGTTGGGTGTGGCCAAGGTGGGCGTGATCACCTCAATGTTGCTTGTGGGGAGGGACGCCTGTGGGAGCCGGGCAGGGTTGGGGGAGATCCAGGGGGTCTCTGGCAGGTGGGGCAGTGGGAAGAAGGCTCGTCCTGCGGGGAGAGGCAAGGCAAGGCAAGGCGAGGCAGGGCGGGGGTGCTATTGTCACAGGGCAAGGTGAGGCAGGGGCCGGGGCGGCTGCTGCCTGACACCATCGGCCCCTGCACACAGAGGCCAGCGAGCGCATGGGTGCTGGGATGCATCCAGCCACGTGGGACTTCGGCGAGTTAGCGGGCGGCTGGTTGAAGAGGGACGGTTGCCATCTCTGGGGCATGGCGCACGTGCCCACAGAGAGGGCTCTGAGTGCCACCTCTGGCACGTGTGCCATAGGTTCGCCACCACTGCAGTAGAACATAAAATAGATCATGTTACTTTTATATAGAATTACTTTCTCTAGTTACCAGTCCCTGGAAGGGTTAAATGAGTAATCATATAAAGGATTCTGTTTTTTAGTTAGTAATTTTATTGAAGTTTTTAATAAACATAGTTAAAATTAATGCAAACTAAGCTAGAAGATAAAAAAGCTCAGGAGGTGCAGAAAAAGAAAAAAAAGAGAAAACAAAAAGAAAAAGGCAACAAAGACAATAACAAAAAGTGGTTTTCAACCTTCATCACACCAACATAAGTTAATATACTAACTTTTCTACCTATTTTAATGTTACAACTTAAAAAAACCCCATCCTCATAGCCAGTCTTTATCTAAACACAATCCAGAAATCATTCTCTTTTCAATCATAGTTCATCAAAAAGTCTTTTTAAGCGTTACTAGAAATATCAAACATGCTTTATCTGTAGTCAAATAATTGAACTTTACATTCCTCCTTTTTGTTGTTCATAATCTTGACCTATATATCTAGGCTGCTGGAAATAATTGATTTGGAGCATCAGAATTTGCCTGTATGTGATGATTCTCGTTGTCCTAAATTGGTTTCTGGATTTTGGACTATATCTCAAATATAGTAAAATAATATATTTTACCAATATATATTTATCCCAGGTAAAACAAAAGAAAAGAAATAAAAAACCCAAAGTATATGCCTGCATAAATATTTATCTATTCATTTCAGGGATGATATAATAAAGGACAAAATGAATGAGTTCAACTAGCATACTAAATTGTGGTTGACTTAAACAGGTTTATATTAAATTGGATTAGCCATCAAACATGAAGACTGAGTTCTCACAACAGTAAAGCATAACCAGTCAAACCCATACTACAGCTTCATAGAGTATATATCAAGTTAGTGCAGAGTTAGTACTAAAAGCATCACTTCTACCCATATTTCTGTATTTTGGTGCATTGAAACTATTGTCAGTATGCAAATGCCAATATCCTGAAATAACTGATAAATTGGTAAACAACTGAATGTTTTCTTGTAGACATGTGACAATCCCTGTAGTTCTCTTTTCCATAATTGGTTTCAGTCAGTCAGTGAAGAAGGAAAATTTTACCATTTTTCTGCAAATCTCCTCATTTGCAATAATGACTATAAGTAGTCCTCGAGCCCAAAATTTTCATTGCTAAGCAAGGGGTTGTTAAGTGAAATTTGCCTTATTTTAATGACCTTTCTTGTCATAGTTGTTAAGTGAATGACTGCAATTGTTTAGTTAGAAATACAGTCATTAAGTGAATATGGCTTCCCGATTGACTTTGCTTTTCAGAAGGTCACAAAAGGTGATCACATGACCGTGGGACATTGCAACCATCATAAATACATGCCAGTTGCCAGGCATCTCACTTTTGATCAAATGACCACAGGAATGCTGCAACAGTCCTAAGTGTGAAAAAGAGTCATAACTCATTTTTACAATGCTGTTGTAATTTTGAATGGTCATTAAAAATGGTTTTAAGTCGAGGACTATCATAAGCAATGTTTTTGAATAATTCTCTATCGAATGATCTGTATTTTTGTATAATGTGTAAATTATATTTTTGTTCTGTTTTTCATTTTTTAAGCCAAGGTCCCTTGTCATCTATTAAAGCAGCAATCAAGAGAAGTAAGTAGATTTTTGGTCTATTATATCCACCTGATGAATGCCTAAGAGATGAACATTTAACATTTTCATTAAACAGACTGCGGGTGCTTTTAATGTTATTTGTAAGTTGATTAACCATTGCAGATATATTGTGTTTCTTCCCTGATCTGTCTGTCATAGATATTTCAAATTCTAGGATTGACTATCATCATTATACATGACCTGATTCTTTAGTTTAACAGATATATTTGTTTCTTTTTGAGTTCTTTTAAATGGAATTCATGATAATTTATCAAAATTATGTAAGTTGCATGCAACATATTTTGATTAAAAAAAATGAGTTAAATTATTCAGATCAGTTGTTGCTCTTCCCACCGAACATACTTGTTTAAAGAAAAAATGTTGATAAGGTAGAGTACTTTATACGTATTTCTTTGCTTATATTTCATTCTCATTTTTTAGTATAAAAACCTGAGCTGGATTGCAGTGCTTGTTATTTAGTCATTTTATGAAAGAAGAAGATGCTTGAACTTGTATTTCTCATTTCTTTTCTCCAGCAAGTTTGAGAGAAAGATATCAGAAGTTCTGTTTTATATTATCTGCACTTTATACTGTATTTCCCCAAAAGTAAGGCCTACCCCAAAAATAAGCCCTAGCTTGATTTTTGGGGGGTGGATCTAATATAAGCCCTACCCCCCAAATAAGCCCTAGTTTTGGGGCGAGGCACACAATTAAAAATCAAACTAGGGCGGGGGTAGGGGTGTGAATCTGCCCCATGCCCCCCACACCCACATACCTTGCAGCCAGGCCTGCATTTCTCAGTCACAGGCCTTTCCAGAAGGCCTGGGCAGCCAAGAACCGAGCTAGGAATTCAATCCATAGCTCGGTTCTGCAAGACTTCTGCAGCCAAGGTACTCGGCTGCATAGGCCTTCCAGAAAGGCCTGACTGCAAAATGCAGGCCAAAATGCAGCTGCAGAATGAAGTTGCTCCTTCAGGCCCAGAAGAAGTGGACTTGTTGGGCGGGGCTGTCAGTGCCATAGGAAAGTAAGACATCCCCCCAAAATAAGACTTGGTGCTTCTTTTGGAGGCAAAAAAAAAAAGACCCTGTCTTATATTCAGGGAAACACGGTAGTGTTTGATTTATATTCTCTAAATAATCTGAACAATAGCAATAGCACTTAGATGTATATACCGCTTCACATTGCTTTACAGCCCTCTCTAAGCAGTTTACAGAGTCAGCATATTGCCCCCAACAATCTGGGTCCTCATTTTACCGACCTCAGAAGGATGGAAAGCTGAGTCAACTTTGAGCCGGTGAGAATCGAATTGCCAAACTGTAGGTAGCCGGCAGTCAGCAGAAGTAGCCCGCAGTACTGCCTTCTGACCATTGCACCCCCATGGCTCAATAATTGGTTGAACATGTCACTACCATAAATTAAAATATGAAATTGGCTATCATTTCTTTGAATTTGGATGATGATGAAATTTATAGTTAACAAACTTTTTCAAAAATTCTCTTTGTAAAGGAAGAAAAAATAATTGTTGTAAGACTTGCTATGACTTGTAATTGTAATGCTAAATTATGGTTTAATGTTAATTCTGAACCAGAATTAAAAGCAAGCTGATAGAAGAAGTACTAATCTGGAATCTAGAGGAAAAGAATCTGGTTCTTGCTTCTTCTGTCTAATAAATGACAAAATAATACTCTATTTCTTTTTTAGGTGAACTTGAAACTATGTCATTATATTTAGTGATTGTAAACTATACTGTGATACAGCACAGGGGGATATTATTAGCATTTGTTTGATCTTAGAGTTATTTGAATAGCTGAAAGATTTGTTTATTTTTGGTGGTTTTATGTCATAGCAATCAGTGCAAATCTAAGCAGCTTACAATATCAACAGCTTATATTATCAGCAAATGAATAAATATAAGTTTATAAAGCAACACTTATATAATAGTAACAGCAAATGCATAAATATTAATTGATAATCATAACAATAATACAAATTCCATATTATAATCAAGAATTGTATACCTTATTAATAGCACCACCATTGTTCACCACAGGCACAATTATCCCTTACCCCAGGGTTGTGAAGATCCAGGCACAAATTCTATATATTATGATATAGTGTTCTACTCCAGCAGCCCCCAACCTTTTGGATGCCAGGGACTGGTTCCATGGAGGGCGGTTTCTCAATGGGCCAGTGTGTGTGTGTGGTTTCACATGTTGCCTGGTTGGAGACCCTTGTGATTCAGTGCCAGCCTGTGATCCCGGCAGTTGAGTCTGGGGAATCAGGAGGAGGAGGAGGAGGAGGAGGAGGGGCCTGGAGAGCTATCAGAGTCGGAGGGAGGTTCTGATGAGCTGCAGGACTTACAAACTAATGAAGAGACTGGTCCTTCCACTCGTGATCAAACTGAGAGCCAGCTGTGCTGGGAAGCTGAGTCGGATTCGGAGGAAGCACAGCTGGAAGACCTCAGAGACGCTCGTAAACGTAGACAGGCTACACGAGTAGGACAGAGGGAGGCAATGGGGCGACTCCAGGGAAGGAGGAGAAAGCAGTGAGAAATCACGCCTTGGGGGCTGCGTAACAAAAAAGGGAATGTGTGGGCAGGGCTGGTTGCTGGAGGCAACTGTTTGCAAAGAACTTCAGAGTCAAGAGATCATGGTCTGTTTATTTTGTCTGTGAGTTATTTCCTGTTTGACTCGTGCTCCGTTTTTGCTTTTGGACAAGGTCATCATTGGAAAAGTGCTCTGTTGCTTTGTTTTTCTGGGACAATTATCAGGTCTGTAACTCAAATAAAAAGGGTTTATTTTCCAGTCTACTGTTAAAAGAGGGGTTGTCTTTGTGAAGTAACAAGGACGTACGTAGGCTGGGACAGAACAACCCCGTTCTACTCAACAGAGCCCTGCAGAAAATGCCTGCTTCTGAATGTCTTCCACTTATATTTCATATGGGTTGGACCTCTCAGCAAATGTTCTCTGCACAAATGCTTTGGTTCAATGGATTGGTTCTATCATTCAACAGATAACCAGGATTCCTGCCATGAGGAGATTAAAAGTGATAAGTAGCACCTTGAACTGCAACCAGAAACAGAATGGCATCCAGTATAGCTCCTACAATAATTGGTGCTTTAGAACTATGCTTATAATCTCTTTAGCATGTGCATAGCCACAATTTGCACCAGTTGTAGTTTTGGGATGCTCTTCAAGGGCAGTCCCATGTAGAATGTATAATAGTATTCCAACAGTGAAATGATGGCATGAGCGACTGTTGCCTGTACTTCTGGCTCCAGACAGAGTAGCACCTGGCAGGGTAGCTGTAACTAGATAAAAGCTACCCTGAGTACAGGTTTCATCAGCTATTCCAACAGCAGCTGAAAGTCCTGGAGGACCCACAAATTATGCACTAGCTCTTTCTAAGGGAGCACAACCACATAAGAAGACGTATGACTATATTAATTCAAGCTTAATGATAAATTATAATGTTCTAGATAATATAAATATGTGGCAGACTAAATTGAGTCTGATAAACTAATACTGTTTCACTTCCTTTTCATCCCTTTTACTCTTAAGCATTTTTGTCAAATTCTCACATTTTTTTACTTCAAACTAACATTATTGCTTGTATGGAATTGTCATATATATAAATACAATTTTACTAAGCTACTTTCCATGTTTCCTGTAACCATTTTTCAATTTTCCAATCAAAGTAACTTTTCCCAGCTTTTTGAGGGTTCTAAAGAAAAGAACCAAAGTTTCTCAAGATTAGAGTTTTTTTCAGAAGATATTTTTAGGACAACTATTAATGACATTAATAGTTGTCCTAAAAATGTTTGTCTCTATTAATTAAGTTTGTCTCTTTTTCAAGTTTTCCCTTAATTGGGATAATATTTCAGCAAAAACAATTACATACATTGGAAGTGTAAAACCCTTTTCCAGAGTGCACAGAAGTTTGTGATTTTGTTATCTGTGATAGCACTGTAAGTTTTCTCATCTCTTTCCCCTTTTTATACATTTGTCCTGTTTAGTCCCATTGAACACACTGTGTGAGCATGTGTACAGATGAACATTTGTGCACATATTGAAATTGGTTGTATCCCCCTCTATATATTTGTTTCTTTTTGTTTAGAATAGAAGGAATGTTTTCCTTTATAGGTAATTTATCTATAAACAAGCATTTTCTTGCTTGCTCACTTTCTCTATGCACAAATATAAACAATTATTTCCATTGAAATCTTTAATAACAAGACAACATTTCATGAGATGATCTAAAATATTATTACCTCTTCCCAGAATGTAGTAGTTCAGACAGTATGTGACATACTGGTGAGTGCTTATGCAGCAATTTTACTGAAAGTTATTATATATAAATATGTACAACTTACATGCACACAAGCATGCATACAGGGATATTTTATTTATTATTTACTAAATTTTTATGCCACCTATCTCCCCTACAAGATGACTCTGTGCCACTCTGGAATATGCTGGTAGCTTTTACAAAAGGATGCACACAATTACTGTATACATGCTTACAATAGTTTTGTTTGGAAAAGTGAACAGAGAAGGTTGATGGGGGAAAAGTACAGTCTCTGGTTTAGGAAGTTTTGTTCCCTAATTGTCTTTAACCTGAATTTGTCTTTAGGTTGGACTGCGTATTACTGCAAATGAACTGCCTATTACTAAAACTGACAGATTGAATTCCTTCTCTGAGCTGATGAAGTACTGAAGCTGTGCAGTGTTTTCTGGAACTGTTGAAAACTGTTGAAAACACACTGTACCATGTTTTCCCGAGAATAAGACCTATCTCGAAAATAAAACGAGCTTGATTTTTACGCATACACCTAATATAAGCCCTACCTCCAAAATAAGCCCTAGTTAAGACCCTGCGCAGCTGGCTGCCCACCCATTCCGTCTGGTTGTTCATGGTGCTGCTGCCACGAGGTGAGGTGGGGGAGGACTGGAGCTGCCCCATACACCCTGCACCCACTTACCTCAGGGCCCCAGATGTCCCACTCCCTGACACCTACCTCACCTCGCTGCGGCGGCACTAACAACCCCATCCAGCAGGAGCCCACATGGCCTCCAGCAGCCCACTTCTTCTGTGGCCATTTGCTGCCGTTTCCGTGTGTCACCCCCGGCCTCCGTTTCACTGGCAGAAGCCTTCAGGAAAGGCCTCTGCAGCCAAGAACGGAGCCCCGGGGTGACATGTTGCCCCCTCCTGGCCTCCGCTCTTGACTGCAGAGGCCTTTCCTCAAAGACTCTGCCGGCGAAATGGAGGCTGGGGTGGCACACGTGAGTAGCAGTGAGCTGCCACAGAAGAAGTGGGCCAGCGGCAGCCACACGGGCTCCTGCTGGATGGGGCTGTTGTTGCCGCTGACGCAAGGCGAAACTAAAAAAAATAAGACATCCCCTGAAAATAAGACTTAATACCTCTTTTGGAGGCAAATAAAATATAAGACCGGGTCTTATTTTCGGGGAAACTCAGTATATTAAAATAGTGTGGCTTCAGGGATATCTGAAATCATTACACAGTTTCAGAGCTTTATCAACTCAAGGAAGAAAGTTTTAGTAATAGGTAGCCCATTTATATCTAGGAGTTGCCTTTAAGTTGGACATTCTTAACCTGGACACTGTTTGTATGTATGTAAAAGAAATGGTTTGGCATTTATTAGGTTTCAGTAAGTATAATTCCATATCCCTGAGGGAAAATATATCATCAGATTAGATAAGTTACACTAAGACAGTGGTTCTCAACCTGTGGGTCGGGACCCCATTTGGGGTCGATCGACCATTTCATGGGGGTCACCAAGCAAGGCTGTCCGCCATTTTTTTTGTCCGCCATTTTTTTTGTCCACCATTTTTCCCCCTTTTCCGGCGGGTGCCTTACCTCCCTTGGGCTGGGCCAGCTGGTGGTCGGCCTGCTCCGTCTCTGCCGCTTGCCAGCTACGCCTCGGCCGGCGCAGGGGGCGGAACCACGCATGCGCGGCGCTCCCGGGCAGGGAAANNNTTTACAAGCAGAAATTATATTTATTTATGCATGGATCTTGACTGAAAGTTTTCTCAGTAAAGTTTGATTCTTTATGTGCAGATTTATATGAAGCATAGTGAGCCTTTATCTTTTAAAAACAGTGATAGATTATGATAAAAACAAGAGAGAGATTCTGTTTCTCAAAGATAAATCTGTTTATCTGAATGTCCAAAACCCCAGAGGGACAACATAACCTCACCTGGCCTCTAGGCAACACACCTATAAGTACTCAAGGGCTAGTAATCAGTTTACTATACCATTCTTCCCCTATTTTACTACAAGTTCTGTTCCTTCATGACTTTTCTTTGTAAGCCCTCCTTCAAAAGAACAGTAACTCTTATATTTGCCTTATGCTGCTTCAGCCTATTTTAGTTTCCCAAACGAGGACAAACCACCTTCTCTCTCACCCCCACACCAAAACCACCATACCCAGCTATCTGTCTGCTCATCTTTTATAGCCACACATTGCTGGGCTATAGGTGCTGGCTATTTTGCAGGTAGTCTGTCCTCCGACACTGAAGGAGAGTATAAAAGGAATATGCATTGTTCCCAGAAAAAGTCAGTAATAAGGAAACATGAACATCTGTTGCAAAACTGATGTTTACTAAGAGAAAACAACATTTTGCCATTGTAGAACAGTGAAATTTTTAATACTACTATCTCCTATTAAGTTACAACATCATTGAAAAAAGTGACTCATGACTGTTTTTCACACTTACGACTGTTGCAGCATCCTTGTGGTCACGTGATCAAAATTCAGATGCTTGGCAGCTAACTCATATTTATGATGGTTGCAGTGTCCAGGAGTCATGTGATACCCTTTTGCAACCATCTGACAAGCAGTAGGAAAGCCAGTTTCACTTAACAATCATGTTACAAATTTACCAACTGCAGTGATTCATTTAACAACTATTGCAAGAAAAGTTGTAAAATGGAGCAAAACTCACCTAACAAATGTTTCACTTAGCAACAGAAATTTTGGGCTCAATTGTGGTCATAAGTTGAGGACTATCTGTACATGAGTGTTGAATAGTCAGGAAAAAAATGTACCAACAACTTCAAAATAAATTGTTTAAATCTGCTGTTTAAATAGATACAGTACAAAGCTGCTGGTTATTTTTTTAAGCCAAATTTGAATTTTAAAACTGGCATTCAAACACTGCCAGAGTTCATTTTGTGAGGGAAATAATACTATGATACCCTTATCTGACTAACAAAGACAGTCTAATGCATCTTTACTATTCACCTGGTTTGTTCTTTTTTCTCTTTCTTTATCTTCTTCTGTAACCCTTCTTTTTCTTCTTTAGTACTCATGAATAGTGCACCTCAAATATGCCCCGTAGAAGAGGTATGTCTTTTCTCACTTCCCCACCTGGTGCTTTGCTGCTATGAATTTGAAATGGTGTAATTAGAATAATTTGCTGCTGCATAATCAAACAAGATATTCTGCTAAATCATGTTATCTGGAGACTATTCTTTCTAATTTGTTATTTTAATTATATACGATAAATGCAAATGATTTCATTCAAATAAAATTTCAGTTATTTTAATAAGGTATATAATGAGAAAATCTATAGTTAAGTCATTTTACATAATGAAATGTGTTCTAATATAACTACCTAACATAAGCATTATTTTTTTATTAGTAGTAATATTGTCTGAATCTTACGGAGGTTATGGTTGGAATGATGGTGTCTCTTACTGGAAATGACAGTCCACTTTTCCCTTGTCATTTGAAAGCACAGACCCTGAAATGGGGGTCTCAGGAAAGTAGGACAAATTGACAGAATCCGTCACATAATTTTTTTGGTTCATATAGCATGCTAAGTCATTTAACCATGGTTGTTGAAAATTCACTTCAACTCATTTGTAGTAATAATGAATATATATGATGATGGATCACTAGGTAATTTCTGATTTATAAACCTGAAGTGGTTCACTTAATAATGCTAAGCCAAAGTTCTTATGGTTTAATTGACTGTGTGGATGTTTTGCATACTTTTTGCCTTTGTACTAAAATGAAGTTTGATCAGGTATATGTGAATGTTAAATCAAGCATATATACTTACTTTTTAATATTGTGGGACTAATCTTGAATTCTCTATATATTGCCTCATGAACTATAAGGTATGTCTAATGAAACTTCCTTAAATCTCAGCGCCATAAGAAGATGCTGATCAAATGCTAGACTCAAAAACACTTTAATCATGTGTTTTGTATTAAATAATTTAATTAATTATTCTTTTGATAATCACTTATAGATAATAATCATTTCTGAAGAATTTTTGGAAACACAAATTTAAATATTATGTTAGCAGTGGTAAAAAATGAATTGTTTGTCTTTTTTTATTTAGCTTCTCGGACAACGTATCACAGTGAACAGCAAAGAGAAAGAAGGTATGGTAATAATCACTCCTCCATTTGTAATTATTCTAGTCATAAAATAAGTGTAAGAGATGACTTATGACATATAAATGAAATGTTGATATTGGGTATCTAAATATGGCATCGGTTATCTTTTATTACATATGTTGCATAGATTTAAATACATTTTCTTTGGAAATTTTATTTTAAAATCGATCCTGTCTTCTGTGGCATATTCATTGGACTGCATTAATTGAAAAAGAGATTTGGGATGGGAAGAACTCATATAATTTCAAGTACTTTGTTCTTTTATTTATTTAATTTCTATTTTTTCTGGCTAATTCTGCAACAATCGGATGACATCTAATGATTAAAAGCATAATATAACCTAAACTAAAAATACAGTTAAAATGAATATTGATATTAAAAATGTATAATAAATTAACAATTATAGCCTTGATAGAAGACAAGTGACTTTATCATTTTCCAAAATATTGGGAAAAATGGCTAGGGTGAAAGGATTTGTTATGTGCATGAATGCTGTTATCACAAAGTGTAAATCAAGTCTGTTGAGATTGGACATACAGGATACTATCAATTTTTGTGGACTCTACAATATTTTATGTCTTAAATACCCAAAATTATATTGTCTGATTATTTAGAGCAGGAATGCCCAACCTGCAGCTCATGGGCCATAAATAGACATGGACATCTAATAATACAGTTCCACAAGGTAATAAAAAATATAGAAAAATAAATGAAGTTTTTGATTCATATACATTAACTATATTACATATTTTATATTCAGCCCAAGATAATTCTTCATTGTGGTGCAGGCAAACAAAAAGGTTGGATAACCATGGTTAAAGTAAATCTGTGTGCATATTTCAAAACTTCAAAAATTGAATTCTTGCCAATTGTAAGAACGTTGGAGATTTGATTGGCCTCTTAGATATAGGCAACAGAAACATAAGGTGGTAAATGGACTTATCTATGGACACCAATGTATTGAAGAATGAAAAAAAGGTGTTTCCCAGCAATTGAATTAGAAAAACCCAATCACTTTCCAAATATTGTGTAACCATAAATTACTGAATTTGGTTTTATTCTTTTTTCCCCATCCAGACGCCCTGAAATCACAATAGTTGCAGCTGAGCCACTTGGACCATCCTCCTGGTTTCCAGGTGGAAACCGTGTCCCTCAACAAGGGCTACTGTTCCAGTCAACTCATAGCCAGACACCTTGGAGAGCCAGTGAACTTGTTCCAGCAGAGGTGAGGAAGCACAGGATTTCCTCTTTGGTTCAAGTTGATGTTTGTTTGAGCATTATAATATAGTGAAATAACTGTAGTATCAGAATTCATTGTTAACTGCATTTAGGACACGGACAGTGAGTTCAGGGGAAGAAATGGCGAACTGAAGAGGCAAAAAATAGAACTGATGATCACAACATAATAAAAAGCCAGAAGGTAGACTTCCTTTTGAAATTCCTCTCTGAAAAAGGAAAGGATTTGAGATTGCCCATAAATTCTTCAGACAATTGCTTCTCATGAGGCAACTATAAGCCTGCAGTCTCTTGCAGTTTGGAGGTCTGGGAGACAAGGGAGTACAGGTAGTTCTTGATTTACAATAGTTCATTTAGTAACTGTTCAAAGTTACAACAGCACTGAAAAAAGTGACTTCTGGCCGTTTTCACACTTATGACCATTGCAGCATCGCGCTGGTCACATGATCAAAATTCAGATGTTTGGCAACTGGTTCATATTTATGATGGTTGCAGTGTTCTGGGGTCATGTGATCAACTTTTGCAACCTTCTGACAAGCAAGGGCAATAAGAAAGCCAGATTCATTTAACAGCTGTGTACTAATTTAACAACTGCAGTGATTCTCTTAACAACTGTGGCAAGAATGGTTGTAAAATGGGGCAAAATTCAAAACACGTAACAACATAAATTTTGGACTAAATTATGGCCATAACCACAGTTGATGCCTTCAAAAGAAACTAAGTTCACATACTTCTTTTATTAATCAGTTTTGGAAATTGCTTGTTAACTGCTTTTCAGTTATTAGGAACTGACAAATTGTACAGTGAGTATCAACCCTCATGGATAAATCAAACAGGAAACATGAATAGATAAGCTAAATCTACTTTGCAAGGCTACATTAATAGAGTCTGAAAGTACAAACTTGTATCCTTCACTTTTAACTGCTTCCTCCATTAGGGTGGATCCTTCCTTAGTTTCTTCTGAGCATAAAATGACTTGGGCTTTTATTTGATTGGTTCCTAAGCAGCATCTCTTCTCTTTCTTCGAGGTCACCCATTTGTTCCATTACACTGAGTTTCCATCAATCCTTAGCAAAATAAGTATTAAATACAAGTTTATGGCCTTAATTTTTTTCTGGAATAAACAGCATAAAAGTAAAACTTTTATGGAAAAAGTAAAACTTTGATTTTAGAAGATTACAAAGGGATTAAGGGTCCAGATAAGAGTCCTCATGGGGAAATGCTTTGGTTTTGAATTGTTGTTTTTTTTTATAATGATACAATAGCATTTTGATGCTTGGACATTAGAGGGAACCAAAAGGAACTAAAGATTACAATTAAAGGAGAAGAATGCTTAAATTTGACTTACTAAAACAGGATGCAGTAAAATATTTTAATATTGGACATATTAAAGATACTATTTTGAACAATAGACCCAGAAGTTAATTTTAAGAGTGTCCTCTACAGATAGACTGTATTTAAAAGATGTTAAGGAAGAGGAACAAGTTTTACCAGATAGGACTGAGGCTGATATGAAGATGAATTTGATGATCTAAATGACAAAATGATATGAAAAAAGATTTTACACTGGACATACAAAAGAAATCAGTGGATGCCTTAATAATTAATAGTGATACATACATAACAAACCAAGAGAGTGACCTGGAGAATTTTCTTATATTGTATTTACAAAAGATGCTTCTTAAGGCTTTGAAGAATTTCAGGAGAAAAAAAATGAAGAAAAAATGAAAAGAAATAAAGTTTTAGAGCATGATTTGAAGGGACTAAAAATCAAGATTGTTAAAAGTAAAAGGAAGGAATATGAATTTGGTTTATGTAATCATGATTAAAATAGATATGTTGTTATAGCTGGTAACTCTTAATGAACATTAGCTGATCAGGACTGAAATGGTGAGGTTTAAGGATTTGTTTTTAGATAATAGATGGGATATGGGAATAACAAATATATTTTAAAAGAAGATAATAAGTTAACTAAAATAGTTTATGCTTGTGATAAAGGGAGATATCATTTCTTTATATATTCCTTTTTGTTTGTCATATTCTTATTTTTCCTATTTGTATTTCCTTTTTCTTTTTTGAACCTTCTATTTTTTCTTTTTCTTTTATTTTTTAGTTTGTATTAGTTTTTTATCATAGCTGGAATTTTTAATAAAATTACTATTAAAAAAGAATTTAGGACATGGACTAGGATTTCATACATTTATAAATGCTGAATTGTTAACATGAATAGTGTGGTGTACATTTGGTATTTTTATTTTTCAGCCACCTTCATATGAGCAGGTAATCAAAGAGATCAATCAAGTGCCAATCATCCCAGCCAGCAATAATAATGCTACCTGTGCTGCTAATTCTAGATGTACTACTACATCTTCAACACAGACTGACTTTCCAGAAGAGATAATCAGCAATTTGCCAGGAATAAATGTGAAAAATAATCTGTCCATTCTTTCTGAATGCAAAAATACTCCAGGTATGTTCCTGTTAATTTTAGTTTGATGATGTTTAAAAGGATTGTATTGGATAGAATTTTTTTTTTTTTTGATAGCTATATTATGCAAAATATATGTTGTGGTTTCAGCTATTATTTATATGGCTTGACACAACTGAAATAAGATGGCATTGGTATATATAATAACATGTAATGTATGCTACCAGGGCACAGTCATACAATTAGATATTGAGTATTGGGTAATTGAAAAGTACTGGGTAATTGAAAATCTAGGGGAATATAACTCAAACATATTTTTCAGAAGTTAAAAATGTATAAAAAATAAATTATAAAATATGACCTTGAGGAAAAGATCTTTCTTGCCTATAATATCCAAACTTGAAATTCCAAACTTCTTGCAAACTGAAAATAATTTTCCAGTTACTTAAAGAAATGAACAAATATTTAACTAAAGATCATATTTTGCAAACAGATTTTTCTAGTTAAAAGAAATCTACAGTAATTTTTATTAACAAAATTTATGTGCCGAAGGTGTATATCTCAACACTGTCATAAAAAATGAACCCACAATGCATCTTGTATTCCACCAGTGAAACAATCCATCAATGTTACATATGCACAGTTGATTATCATGATTGAAATGACTAAAATACTTTAAAAAATCTTATTTACACAAACTGTTTATCAGCAAGTAAATTCTAATGCACAGACAATTTAAAAGTCATATCTGGTTAAGATATAGTAGTGAAAAATAAACATAAATAGGCTTAGTTAAAATATAATCTAATTAAAACTTTTCTCAAATTAAATAAATTCTAGCTTATGAATGAATTATCTGAGTCATTTAGTTAATTAATTATCTAAGTCAAGTAAAAGTACTTCTGAAGCATATTTTATTGGAATTTATGGCACAATTATTTTAGTAGATACTGACCAAAGTTTGAAAGATAATTTTTGCATATGTTCTCAAAATATATTTGGACACAATATACAATTTCTATAGGTTCTTAGGTGAAATTTTATAATCGATTTGCTTTTAGCACTGATATCATATTCTGCAGATAATTAAACTGATTCTATGACTGCGGGATGATGCTATTCAATACTTATTTTAAAAATGATTAGCCTAGTGCAGTGGTTCTCAGCCTGTGGTCCATGGACCCCTGGGGGGCCGTGATGTCATCACAGGAAGTCTGTGAAATCTTGAAGAAATATTCTGATATAAATGTTGAGTTAAGTCTTGGTGGTCTGTGACCATGGTCCGTGGCCACAAAAGGTATTTTAAATACCATGGTGAAGAAAAGATTGAGTACCACTGGCCTAATGTGTTATTTGATGTTGCAATCTTTCAGTGAAACCTATTGTATATGTACATTGCTTTTTACAGCTCTACATATTTCTCAGAAGCCATCCAGACCTTCATCATCTCTGATAAACAACAATCTTCCCATAAATGAACAACTCTTAGTTATTTTAGAAGACCAGACATCTCAAGAGAAGTCTAATGCTGGAGTACATCCTGTGCCAAAACCAAGATCAAAAGGCAATCTGAAACCAGTGGCTAAAGACAATCAAACAAACAATCAGGAACAAACTAGCCCATCAAGGACCGAAAATGATGAGTTATCTAATCCTTTGATGTCCCTACTAGACAGTAGCCTTAAGGAAAGTCATATAGTAATGGACAGCATGGATACAGAGAACAACCAAAGTAATGTATTATCACGGATTAAATCATTTGAAATGCAAGGGAACATTGAAACTTCAGGAATAACCAAGAAACCAGAAGTATCTCCACGCTCATTAGGCCCCAAACCTATCATTAGTGCAAAAAAGCCTGTAGTGGCACCAAAGCCAGGCGTTAACAGAGCATCAGGAGAATGGGAGTCTTGGACAGAAAGCAGACAAAAAGCCACCTCCCAAGAGAAGCCCCTTCAGTCTGAGGAAGTTGGGAGCAACATTATAACTAAGCCTGAATTGCCAAAGAAGCCAACATTAATGACTGTAAAGAGTAATAGCAATGGGCTCCTTAATTCAGGAAGTGGATCAACTTTGGAAAATATTGATGGACAGAGAAAAGTTCCCATTCCTGCTCCTAGGCCACTTGTTCTCAAGAAGTCAGTCTCTTTTGAAAGTCCTTCTCTTCCTATGCTTCCCCTGAAACCAACATGTACTGTTCCCAAGCACCCTATAGCTGCCCAATCAAATGCCTTTAGATCCCCAGTGGAGTGTTTGCCAAGCAGTATTGTACCATCTCCAACACAAAATATTACTTCTGCAGAAGGAGATTTGATCAGCTTTGATGATGATGTTTTATCCTTTAACCCTGTCAAGGCTGTTCAAGACGTTTCTCATTCAGAATCAGGTAAGCTTTAAAATGAAAAAAATAAGCTTTTGTAAAAAAAAAAAAGTTTCAGGTTGTATAGTACATTCAGGTACATTTTAATAACAATATTAGTATATATATAAAAACTATGAAACCAAAACTCATTCATTTGCAAATGTTTCTGTCTATAATGGATTTGGTCAGATGCACTGGTGAACTTTCTAGTTGAGGGCTGTGGTATCAAATCAATGCCTATTCAATATTACAGTATTCTTATTTGACTTTAGCCTCCAAATACATGGGTTTGCAGAATTACTGGATTTTTGTTTATTTGTTACTATCTTCCATGTTCTCCAGAACATGATAAAATATAATAACGGAAATATGATAAAAGGTAAATGCTATTACTTTGGATTACAGTATGTCAAAGACTCCAGATAAGCTTTCAGGTTATAGCCAGGATTGGTTTGTGTGCTTAACTTTAAGGAAACTGAACTCTGGAGTGGTCCTCCTTATCTTTGATTTCTTAGAAAACACATGCTTGAATTACAGCAAAGGAAAAAAATGTTTTGAAAATGTTATTGTCACATCTGACAGTAAATACTGTAAATTGCAAGAAGCTTCTATAAATGTTTCAAACTAGGTAACATCAGGTCAGGAACTCCACTCCTGACTAGCACTGATGATGTTACCTAGTTTAGAAATAATGAAACGCCTGCAAGAAAACAACCACGCTCAGGGAGCACCAAGGACCTCTCTTTCAGCCCTGAATTGTATTTTATTCTTTCTGTTCTGCTATCATTATTCCTTTTGTTGCTTATTTATCTGGAATCCCTCCAATTCTCATTCCTCCTTTTGTGCTTATTTATCTGGAACCCCTTCACCATTTTGCATATTTGAAGGGGAGGGAAAGAAGGTATATAGTATTGTATAAATATATTTTATACTATCCAGTATAGTAATAAACTTTTAATATTTTTTTCAGATTATTCTTAAAGTGTAAGCTTGCACATACTTGCCCTGAAATATTTCATAATAATTTGTTTTCCAATTTCTCAAATCCTTCCTTTCTCATTAAAATTTGTAAACATTTGGTCTTCTTTGAATTATGAAATTTTAGTTATTTCAAATACTGACAGAATTATCCTTCTTCGGAATTTACTTTTACAACAAATGGAACTGAATATTAGTCTGTAATTGAACAGAAAAAAACAGGCACTGGCTTATGATTGATTTTTTTTGAAATTCAGTTCAATTATTTTTTATTAAATTTTTGTAAGGCTTGCATAAAAAATATTAAGTTTGAGGTCTGATAATAACATTGAGGAGATATGCACCAGAGAGATTAAGAGTTAAATAAATGTACATGTATGAGTTTACATGTCAAACCAAATAGTTGCAAGAGTGAATGCAATTCTGGGAACCATTGTGAACCCTTTTGAAATTTAATAACCTAATTATTGTTACTAGAAATGCAAGTGGAACATATTGATGCTGATAATTAGTTGGTATAAACTAATAATTCCTATATTAGGCTTAGTACATTTTTAGCTCTAGAATATTAGCTGTTTGTGTGAAATAGACTACTTTTGTTTAGATACAGTATGTGTATATTAGAAATGCAATTTTATATACTGATTTATAAACCAGTAGATAGCAAAGGTCCCAGTCAAAGAAGAATCTTATTATATTTAACAATGTTTATAGGCAAATATTTTTAAATAGATCAGTTGTACTTTATTTATACAAAAATAAAATGGTACTAAAAAAACCTCATTTTCTGTTGAAGCTCTAGTTAATTTAGATACCAAAGAATGAAGATTACAATTTACTTTAAAAAATATAGAACTGGTTTATGAATTTAAAAGCAGGAAATTCCTGAAGTTATTTCCATCCCATCAACGTGACCAGCTATAGGGTGAAAAATTATAATTATGAAAATAGTTCTTTTTTCTGTTTGGTATGGTTCATGTGGTGGCATTCAAGCTGAGTTCATAGGGTGATTGGCTGAAGAGTTCACACATCCTCTCTCAAAACTTTATGGTCTTCACCCTTTGGTCCCAACTCCTGCTCTGGGGTACTGGCTTGGTAGTTCCTGCTACCGACTCTGTTCAAGAGGTGAGCGAAAGAGGCATCATGGCCTTGCATCCTCTCCTTTAACTTTGAGTGTGAGAGAGTGTTGGCAAGTAAGAAGGTAAAAATAAGAATGAGAGAGTAATTGCACCTCCTGGCCATATAGCATCAAGGCAAGTGACTACAGGTGGTATCATTCCATTTCTCTGTCACCTCCACTACTTCCACCCTGGGAGAAAGACCTCACAAGAGTAAATAAAAAAATCTTACAAGAGTAAATAAAAAAGGGTATGTGTGTGTCTGTATATAAATTTATATAACTCTTGGCCTATGTATTCATTGTTGCAAAAGCTAGTGTACAGAGTTGGTGAATTACAGCAGTTGGCAGATAAATTAAATTCAAAAATTCAAAAGCCACAAGATGGTACTGATTTCTTCTCATCGTCTCGTATTTTGCGTTACATAGAATTTCTTAGAGAAAAAAACATGATGTGAAGAGAACTGAAAGGAAGTGTTTTTGTGAACAACCTGATATGCACATAAAAGGATGAAGTAAATACAATAACTGAATTTGTGTATAAATATAAAAAGCATTACACTTAAATAATTTAAATAAAACTAATGTAGCTACTATCTAAAATATTTTCTTATTTCCTAAAGATAACTTGAATCTTAAAGTCCTCTGCTTCTTTCCTCTGCATCTCTCCCAGCCCCTGAGGATAATTCCAGCCATTTATTTATTAAATTTAATGAAAGATATTGGAAAAATAGTATACCCTTTCTTTTATTTCCAGATTAAGCACAACAAATACTCCCTAGAACGCCCTAGAAAATAACCCTTTTTCCTACTCAGGAAAGAGAGGGGCTGGTACATTTGCCTTTTCTTTATATGAACAAAATCATGCTTCCCAATGTCTGTTCAGTGTCTTAGTGACTGGCTGTCATTCCTGTGAATGTGGACTGGCATCATCACATTGGCATTGTGAGAAATCTAAAGTTGCTGCAGGCTTATCCAGAACTGAAGAATGAGATAACTGGCAACCGAAAGTGGCTTTTGTAGTCTTTCAATGTGAAGCCGGATATGATAGATGTTATGTGTATTTTGGAAAGCTTTATAGGAAGTAAAAGATAATAATAAACCAAAACACACACACATTGAATGGCCCAAAAAAGCAAGCTCAGCAGCCAAAGAATGTTCAGGGCAAATTGAAGAAAAAAACCCCTGAGAATGAATGTGAGTGAAATGTTCTCTTTAGAGGGAAGCTGTCAAGCCCCTAATAGCATTAGACCAAGGGAGCAGGATTCACACAGTCTTATTCATCAGGATTAATGCAAGGAAAAAGGAGTTAGATTAAAAAAATCTTGTAAACTAATTTTAAAAAAATATTCCTTATTATTGAACTTTTTAAGGAGAAGCTTTGTGTGAGTTATTTGAATTTAATTCTTCAGATTCCATAACTGATTACGGATGCCACACATAACAGATAAGGCTGAAATTTGTTCCTCGTTTGCAATATTTTGAAAGACACTCTTATCTTTACTGGGCTGGAATTCCCTTATTGAAATAAATTTAAACTTTAGACCCTGTGATATAGTATTTCTTTCAGCATACAACCCTAAATTTCTATGAGTGTTACTAATATTTCCTCTTGAATGGGGACAGAATAAAATGCTATGTTTTGCATTTTTCTTAGATCTTACTAATTTGCCATCCAAAGCTGAATCTGCAAAAGAGCAACCAGTTCAGCCAGCTGTTGTGCGTAAACCTACTGTAATCCGAATTCCATCTAAACCAGCTAAAGGTAATATCTATAATATCCATCCATTCATCCATCCATTCATCCTGTATGAAATACAGTATATGATCCTGAGAAATCTATCTTTACCTAAAGTTGTTTTTGATAGAACATATTACCCCAAAGGATGATTTTTCTACATTTTAGACACCCCCTGAAAAAAGAAAGAATATTTTAAAAATTATAATCACAAATATCCTCCCTCCCGTCTTCTTGCTAAATTGGGCTTGCCGATTCTAAATGAAAGAAAACTGGAGATTTCATACATGTTCAGATATTTATATACATGTATGTGTACTTAAATTTTTTGAATTCAGGTTTCCTTTTCTCAAGACTCAAGTAAACATGAGTCCATTAGAGTTGGGCAGCTAATCAAATAAATAATAATTCAATACTTATTCCCCTCTCTCCTTCTAGGAGGAACAGGAAAAAAAAAAGGGGAAAACAGAATGGAGATAGCAGTAAAAGAGTGTCATAGCTGTACTTAAAAAAAGAGGAAGGAAGGAAGGAAGGAAAGAAGAAAAGAGAAAAAAGGAAAGAGAGAGAGAAAGAAAGAAAGAAAAAACTGGGTAGAATTAAGGCAAGGGAAAGAGGTAATTGGGTAGAGAGGAAAAAAATAAACAAAAAAAGCCTTGTTAAGTATTAAACTAAGTTAAATTTTGCACACTGAGCAGCCTGTCCCAAGCTAATTTAACAGGTTTCTAGCATGAGTCTCTAGTGATCTGCATTTCTTAATTGTATACCCTTAAAAATAATAAAATGCTCTTCTTACATCAGTGTTTTTCAAACTTGGCAACTTTAAGATGTGTGGACCTTGGCTGGAAATTCTGAAAACTGGAATCCATACATTTTAATGTTGTCAATTTATACTTACAAAGAGGTAACCCTCAACATACAACAATATGTACAATAACTGTTTGAAGTACAAGGCCGTTGAATAAAGGGACATATGAACGGTTCTTGAAGTTATGATTGTTGCAATGTTCCTACGGTCATGTAAACAAAATATGGGTACTTGGCAACCAGTTCACACTTACAACTGGTTGCTGCATCTCATAGTCATATAGTTGCCATTTGCAACTTTCCCTGCCAGCTTCCCCCAAGCAAAGTCAAGCCACTTAGGTAAGTATCCCTCACATCACTCCCCAGCCTTTCTTTGCTCTTTCTTTCTTCCCCCTTTGCTTGCTTGCATGCACTGCACTGTCCTCCCTGCCTCACTTAACTTGCATGCACCATGCTTTCCTTCCCCTTTTTGCTTACAAACATGGACCTACCAGTGCCCTCCTTCCTGGGCCTCTCTCCACTTTACGTCCTCCTTCTCAGGCCTTCCTGGACTTGCAAGCACCTGCACCTTCGTTCCCAGGCCTTCCTATCCTGAACACATTGCAGCAAACCCTTCCCCCAATTTGCATGCAGCTGGTGCTAGGGTTTACCCCACCCAGCTGTGACACCCTGGTGCTCTTTACCAGAGATTCCTGATGCTTCTTGCTTAATGACTTGAATGTCTTGGGAGTATGATGGCAACCAGGATTAAGCGATGCAGTCATGTGATGGTGTGTTTAACAACTCCGTTCCTTAGTGATGGCAATCCTGGTCCCAATTGCCACTGTAACTTGAGGACTACCTGTAGTGCAATTCCACTGTATATCAGTGAGGTCTGTTATATTTTTCCATTGAATATTTTTGTAGAATAACTTTTCTTAAATAACTCAGAATTTTGATAGTTAATATTGGGAAATTATAAATATTTTTGCAGCTTTAAATGACATTCTGGAAAGCCCTCCTCCTCCACTACCTACGGAGAAACCAATTGGAAACACATCTAGTATTGCAACTGGAAAACTTAATAACATCGACATACTTAACAAGGTAATGCATTTCTTCTTCCTTCCTTCCTTCCTTCCTTCCTTCCTTCCTTCCTTCCTTCCTTCCTTCCTTCCTTCCTTCCTTCCTTCCTTCCGTCCTTCCTAAAAAAACGGAAGCCACAATATTGAATTATTTTAGTTAATCTTTAAGCAAAATTTCTTTTCACTGAAGATAATTCTTTATACAGGCAATGTATGCTGTGTTAATGAAAGCCTAGCAGAGGAATCTACTACATGCTTTAGCTCTGGTTTTCCTGCATCAAGCAGGAATTATAATTGATTCACTGTATTTTTGGCTAAATGTCTTTAAAAGTGTTACACTGCTTAATATGCATATTTCACCAATTAGGTACTTCCCCCCCTCTCCCCAAAATGGTACAGGTGAGAAAATTGCTAGAATCTTCAAAGAAATAAACTCAGATTCCTTGAATTCGGACATACCCAGTTCCTGCTTTGGTTACTACACTTACCTTGCCTAATTCCAACCAATTTTCCTAGATAGTATATAAGTCTGCTTTAATTTGTACTATGTGTTGTTGAATCACTCATATGAAAGACCACTCATATGAAATTCTGAAAAATTGTGCCTTCTGTCTTGTACTTTTTGACATTTAATCATATCATGTATTGAAGTAAAGAGCTCATCCATTTTTAACAAGGTCAGCAACCATCCTAACCCTGCTGCACTTGCATTGAATCTCCCCTACCACCCATGTTTCCTTGCACACTCTGCTTGAGTCGCCCCTCCCCTGCCACCTACACAACCTCATGCACCTCCCTGAGCCTTGCAATGTTTGCACCTCTCTGTGCACCTTTGTGCATTCTCCCCCACCCAATGGTAACCACCCCAAGCACTGTCATGCTTATTCTGGACTTCTGCAGCCACACTTCACTCTCCTCCCCCCCCCTCCGGGCAGCAGTCACTTATCTGCCTGCGCCTATATCCAGTGGTTTCCCCACTGACTTGTGGTTGTTGGAAACCAGCAGGAAGTTGTGAGGAGCTGCTTGCTTAATGACCCACAACCCTCCCTTAACAATAGCAACAGGGATTCCATGGACTGCCACCACTAAGCAATGTGATTATGTGACATTGCAAATTTCAGATTGTTTAGCAATAGACATTCTGGTTCTAAGTGCAGCCATAACTTGAGGACTACCTGTATATATGCAAAAGCATGTGTGGTGTAATGGCTAAAGCACCAGGTTAGAAACTGGGAAACTTGAGTTCTAGTCTATCTTAATCATGAAGTCAGCTGGCTCTCTCTTTCTTAGTCTTAGGAAGAAGGCATTTGGCCAAAAATGTTGCCAAAAAAATTGTATAGATTTGTCCAAGCAATTACCACTCCTTTTCTTATCTTGTATTTTCCTTTGAAAGGATCATAACAATTCTAATATGTTTTTGTCCAAATAATAATAACATTTAATGACCCAATAGGAACCTGAACAGCCCAGCTTGATACAGCCATTCAGGAATAACCCTATTCTGCCTCCAAGGTGAGTATCAAAATGAGTAGCATAGGTAAAGGGATTGATGTTGTGCAGTACATATTCTGCTACCATGATAATGTTAATATTAGTTGTATAGTTTTAATTTGTTACATTATATAGCAAAATGTAAAATATTCTACAATTTTAAAATACATATGGACTATAGATTATATTGATTATTCTCTTATTTTGCCCTAGAAGATAGAAATAATTACGTTCACAGTCTGACCCATTCATAATATTTAGCAGAATAGACTGTTATGAAGTTAGTAAATCAGTGTTTGTTGTCATTGTGAATAAACCAAAGCAGATCTCCAGTTTTAATTTTAAAGAAATCTTTATGTACATTTTAATCTGCTTAACAAATTGCACAAGGTAAACTAATGTATTACATTAATTAGAAAAACAAAACAAAGTGCCAAGTATTGAATAGGGGAATCTAACAATGAAGTTGCTTCCAGTGGGATTCTAATGGTTTTAGCCAATGGGATTCTGATGTTTTAGTCAAGCCAATGCAATCCTTTTTGTGCTGTGTTTCCTTGATTGAAATTGTCTAACTATATGAAGAGCTGTTTTACCCAAAGATTTCCACGTAGATACTCTTCTCATTTTATTTTCAGATAGCTAATATAATATTGATGAGATGCATACATTTGGCATGTGAATTTCATTTTTATAAAAGAGATAAATTATATATTGTATATCATGAATAAGAATATAATTTAATAATCACTGATCCTCTAACATAGCATTTCACTCAGCTTGGTTGCAATGCATGTAGTACTCTTAGCAGATTCTTTAAAAAACTCTTTAATGGGGATCAACATTACTTGTTATGTATCGATAATTGTAATGGTATGTGGAAATGTTTTTGGGAGACGAGGGGGAGGAGAGAAGAGATGTTGCCTAGGGAACAGTCAGATGAGAAAAAGTTAGGGTTAGATCATTGTGGGCAAACTCTATCTTCATGGTCACCAGGAATCAAAAATGAGTTGATGATAATTAATCTAGCAATAGTTTTTAATAATTCAGAGTGTATTTGTAATATAATTAGAATAAAATGTCTTTTTAATACCACGCTATCTTCATAATTTCTAGACCCGTTCAGGGGAAAATCATACCATCTCGACCATCTCCACCTAAAGGTGCCCCAGGAAGACCACCACCACCAAAATCCACCAAAATCTCATCAGATATTGATAGATTTCCACGCTCATCATCTGATGTAACACTCCATAAGAAATCTAGCATGCTTGGATTGGGAATCAAAAAAACAAAGAGTGATGATTTTAAAAAACATGGCTCAGCTTTACCCCCTCGACCCAAGCCAGGTCATCCTCTATATAATAAATACATGGTAAGAAGATTAATTTCACTAGGGGGAGATGTGACTTTGCACATATCGTCTCTTATTAAAAGAGTAGGCAGATTGATTTTAATTGTATAAACATTCAGTAAATAAAATATATCATATTTCCAGATGTACTTTCTGGTGGCACTGGAGTTTTATAGACTTCCATCATTTTTCTCCCTTTTGGGATATAAAATTTAATATTTTAGTAGCTGTGTGGGCAAGTATCAGTTCTTGAAACTTATCAAGTAACAAATGAGGTAATTATTTCAACTTTTCATCAGCAATTATAGACAAAAACTTTCACCTATGGGAACTAAAAGGAATACCAAACCTTGTGCAAAATTCAAACCAGGGATCTCTCATTTTGTAAATAAAGAACTGGAATTAACTAGTTATAGGATTAACTGGACAACAGTTCATTTAGATCCCCAAAATGAATCCCAGAAAAGAAAATGACATGTAATACTTGAATGCATTTTCATGACAAATAATAAAACATGAAAATGTATATTAGATTGTCAAAAGTTATTTTTTACTGAAATGTGAATAATTTGTTTCAAGCTTCCTGTGCGTCATGGAATTGCTAAAGAAGACATTTCATCTCAAAATGCTGGGCATCTCTCTTGTAAGGTAATGCTGATTTCTACATCTATGGAAGTATATAAATATGTTTAGTCATCGATCTGCTAACTTTTTATAATTTTAAAGTGTGGAGATGTACTTGTTCTGGTGGATCAAGTTGAAAATACCTACATAGAATGCAAACATGGAGGTGAAACTGGCAAAGTTCATTTATCCCAAATGCAGATAATCTACCCTGAGGGTGCAAAGCAAATAGCAAGTATAAATTTCAATAATTAAACACTATTCTAGGCATACAATATTACCTGGGATACATTTGGTGCATCCTAATCCCAAATATAATTTGTGCAGCAATGTAAGGGTCTGTTAAGTATTTTATCATGTTGGATTCCATTGAAGATTTAATAAGAGTCCCTTGGATGATTGAGATGGTATATGAATTGAACAAATAAAACATCTTCCAAAAACATGTTGTGTTTTAGAATAGTAACTATTTATCAAAGGGATTTGGTGTTACTGTCACTGCTATAATGTTAGCATTTAGAAAAATTAGAAAATATAAAAAACAAGGAGGAAGGAATCTTACTTGGAAATATTTAACTCAAAGAACCCAAAGCAGATCGTGCAAAGCTGATTTTGTTTTTGATGATGCATACACTGTGTTGACTTACTAATTTTCAACAATATTGGCTGTATTAAAATCTAAATTGATTCCCTTTAGCTTTGGGGGATTTTGCACTTGAAATCAGTGAAGAGAGTACTTTACTCAAGAAATTATAGAATATCGGTTATCGTAATTGCCAAATCTGTTGTGTTTTTAAGGATTCAGCTAATATGCAGAAGATGAGTGATTCAAATGTTCCTCATGCAATAGTGCTGCATAATTTCACAGCAGGTAAGAAGTGACATCCGAGTAAATGAAAATATAGTTTTGCTTTTTGAACGATTCTTAATATACGTTGGTTTACTGTTTGCATTATACTAGAATTTGAATCCCTTGATTGTACTGATCTTAAGGCGTGTTAGTTGTTAAAGGGCAATTGCCATGTCCTGACATTAAATTCAAAACCTTTTGCTTCTGGCATATTCCTTGGTGGGAAGACTGGTGGAGAGAGAAATATTAGCAAATGCTTGAAGTCTCTGTTTTTAATGATTTCAGTTTCACTTTTTTTCCTTTGGTTTTTCTGCTTAGGTTGCTTTCTTCTCCACAGAGAGTTTCATCACTTTCTTTTTGTACTCCTTAGTAAAACTCAGAGCAATGACTTTTAATGCTATTAGCTGCCTGTTCCTTTGGCCTATATTTATGTAATGTAGGTACCAGAAATAGATTTTAGCCTAAGTGAGATAGCCTAAGCTATCAACTAAAACAGTTTTAATTTTTATTTTTCCATAGAGCATAATGATGATTTGGACCTTAGTACTGGAGACACAGTTTTTCTTCTGGAAAAAATAGATGATGAGTGGTATAGAGGAAAATGCAAAAATCGTACTGGAATTTTTCCGGCTAGCTTTGTCAAAATTGTTGTAAGTGAAATATATTGTATTTCATTTGGGTTCACATTTGAGTTCTAATTTAATCTTTTCCTTGTGCATTTTATTGAGCATATCATGCAGTTAAATCTTGCTTGAGTGCACAAAGTAGATATCATATTTTTTGTAACATGCAGCAAATCTATTTAAATTTGCATCTTACTTGATCTTTATGGTTTTCATTTTCACAATAAATTGAAATTAAGTGTGAAAATACCCTTTACTTAATTCAAATGTGCTCATAAATTAACCAGGGTACGTAGTGCGGTTTTGCTTTTAGATTTTTCCTGGGTGTATCTGATATGATTATGTTCCCTGGCTCCATTTCAGTATTATAATCACATGTGAATGACTCACCAATAAAATTTTGTAATGTTCAGTAAAGTCATGCAAAACTGAATGAAGTTTGAGGGACACTGCTTGATCCACTGTGATCATCCAGAGATTTAGAGTGCAGTGTCATCAATATGCAGATATCCCTCCCTTGATGGAGCTAGAAATTGACTTTATGACTTTGATCCTTAGGTCCAGGATTGGAAAGATCGCTATTTGGGTTGGGAGTAGTATTTCTCCAAAGGAAGGAAGAGAGGAACAGAAGCAGAAAGACATAGGTCCACTAGAAGTACAGATGAGGAGGATCTTTGCTAAATTTCAGCTGGTATATTAATATTCTACCAGCTACGCTGGATTAGCACTAACAATCTTACCACTATATCATTGCTTAACATTTTGTGTGATCCTGATGATAATCCAAAAACGTCAATCCCCATATATCTGATATTAGGAAGGAAGGAAGAATAACACAGATTTCACTAGGGGGGGTGTGGTGTTAGTTTGGTATAAATAGAGATTTTTTAATACTGTAATAAGATTTTTAGGCTTCCATTTTAGTGAGTTAATTAACGTGAAGTCTTTAAAACATCTTTTCCCTGAAATGTCCTTCCAGACACAATCATTTTAGTTTATCAACTGACTTGGTCTAAGCTTTCCCAGAATTTCTTTTTAAAAAGCTGCAGCAGAATAATAGAGTTGGAAGGGACCTTGCAGATCTTCTAGTCCAACTCCCTGCTCAAGCAGGAGACCCTACACCATTTCAGACAAATGTTGCCCAATCTCTTCTTAAAAACCTCCAGTGATGGAGCACCCACAATTCTAAAGGCAAGCTGTTTCACTGATGAATTGTTCCCACTGTTCTCCTTAGTTCTAGGTTGGATCTCTCCTTGATAAGTTTCCATTTGTTACTTTTTGTCCTGCCTTCAGGTGTTTTGGAGAACAGGTTGACCACCTCTTATGTATGACAGCCCTTCAAATATTGGAAGATTGCTATCATGTCATCCCTATACCTTTTTTTTAGTTTTACTGGATATACCCAGTTCCTGCAACCATTCTTCAGTTTTAGCCTCCAGCCCATTAATCGTCTTTGTAGATGTATTTGTAGAACATTTTTTCCTTTTTTTCTTACCTGGCCACAGTGTTTTCAAGACTATGGTTAGCTGGAGTTCCTGCCATCAGGGAAACAGCAGTGGGACTATCCAGCAAGTACAAAACATTAAAAATATCGTACTAGAGACTCTGGGTAATATATTATTACAATCAGATACTTACTTTTTTTTCTTTTGTATGAATAAAATGGTAGAATTTGAGACATATATTTTTTTGGTGATGAAAGGAGAAAAACCCTACTGAAGTGTATAATGTTTGAATAACAATGCTAACCGCTATGAAGGGAAAACATTCATAATAGACCACAGTGTCAATTAGGAGCAGAAAGCAAAAGCAAAAAATTGTAATTTTTAAAATTACAAATAGTGTTGATTTTAGTCATTATATGAGCAATCAAGAGAGGATTGTTAGCATACAATTTGCAGTTAAGTCCAAGAAATGAAAATCAGAAGGAAGTACAATGGTGCATCTTCTAATTTGCTGACTGAAGAAGAATGACAACAAAACAAAACCTCTTACTAAATTTTTGTAAATGCTTAGCATTTCCGTATGACGAGATACAGTTAGAACTGCAGTTTGACCAAGCAAGTTTGATAAAAATTAGGCTTCCTGTTCAGATTCAAAGGCCAACAGAAAGCACAGGAATATTCCTACATCAGCTTTCTAACAATTCCTTTTTTTTTTAATTCTGCCTTTATTATTTTTATAAATACAGCTAGTCCTCAACTTAAACTTATGACCACAATTGAGCCCAAAATTTCTGTTGTTAAGTGAGACATTTGCTAAGTGGGTTTTTCCCTATTTTACGACTTTTCTTGCCACAGTTGCTAAGTGAATTGCTGCAGTTGTTAGTAACAGGGTTGTTAAGTGAATCTCACTTCCCCATTGACTTTGCTTCTCAGAAGGTTGCAAAAGAAGATCACATGACTCCAGGACACTGCAACAGTCATAAATATGAACCACTTGCCAAGCGACTGAATTTTGATCACATGACCATGGGAGTGCTGCAATGGTCTTAAGTGTGAAAACTGGTCATAAGTCACTTTTTCCATTGCTGTTGTAACTTCGAATGGTCACTAAATGAAATGTTGTAAATTGAGGACTACCTGTAACTCAAGGCAGCAAACATACCTCCTCCTCCCTCCTCCTCCTATTTTCCCCACAACAATCCTGTGAGGTGGGTTGGGCTGAGAGAGAATGACTGGCCCAAAGGTACCCAACCTGTTTTCATGCCTAAGGTGGGACTCGAACTGACAGTGTTCTGATTTCCAGCTTGCTGCCTCAATCACTAAACCAAACTGGCGACTGGGTTTTTAGGAACTCAGAGGTATGGATCTATGCAATCCTCGACTGCAAGCAAGTCAACCGTGCTCTCACGGTCACTGCATTTGTGGGGTTGGGCCACCTTAATGGCTTGCAGCGCTATCTTCTGAAACTGCAGTACAATCCAGGATAAAGATGTATTTGATTTAAACAACTGCAACGTCTTGCTGTGCACCTTCCTGCATTTCAAACCTTTTTCTGACCTTTGAAGGAGGAATAGAGCCCTAATAATTTTTTTTAAGAAATTAATTAAGGTACATAGATAAAATAGTTAAATGTTCTTATGGTCTCCTTCCTAGATTGATACTCCAGGAGAAAACAGCTGGAAAAAGGAGCAGCTTTCACCATCCAATATTGTGTAAGTTTTCATAGAAGTGTTGACTTTTCAGTCTTGAACACGCAGATTTATTTTCCATTCATACAAAGGTATTCTGGCTACCACTCACAGCAAGTAAAATCCTGTCTTGGAGACTTCAAACACAGAATAATTCTTGGAAAGGGAATTATAAAATAGCATACTGTAGAACATTACAAAACAAAGTCACAGGATTGTTTAAGGATTTTAAATTGGTGTTTAAATATTTAGGGTTTGGGTGGCTTGCCTAATTGTGTGTGTGTGTTTCTGTGTGTGTCTGTGTGTGTATGTGTATGTGTATGTGTCTGTATATATGAATTTTTTTTACTATTTCTACTACAAATACAAATACAGTATATGATAGAAATATATATGTGATGGCAAAAAAAGAGATTGTGTTGTGTATATTTCTTTGAAGTTCTAATAGAGAAATCATTCAAATAAGAAATATGTGATAAAGGTCTAATAAACAAATATAAAATCATGAGCCTAAATGATGTAAGATGATTTTTATTTTTTTATATTAATAATGAATATATATTTAATGCAGTTGACTCCGAATAATAAGTGAAACAAATGAATGAAAGAATATTTTTCCTTTTACTATTTTTTCTTTCTTTGTTATTTTAGTGGCCCAAGATGTAAAGCTAGATTTGAATACATTGGAGACCAGAAAGATGAATTAAGTTTTTCAGAAGGTGAAACTATTATTTTAAAAAGGTATATTAATGAAGAGTGGGCCAAAGGAGAGCTGAGAGGTACTGCTGGAATTTTTCCCTTAAATTTTGTGGAAGTTATTGAAGATCTGCCTGAATCAGGTAAACACAAACAAAACAAACAACTAACAAACTGGTGAACAAAAAAACAGCATCTCACAGTGGATAATTAATGTGACAAAATGTCTTATGTAATAAAGACAATTATATATTTGGGTATAGAAAAACACATACCAAAATTAGAAATGTTAACCTCCTTCATTGATATTTTATATATTATATAAATCAATATTTTTGCATGTTGTTCTATTATTGGTCATGCTGTGCTTGTGTTAACATAAAATCACAATTTTAAACATTCCCGTGTTTCCCCGAAAATAAGACTGGTTTTTTTTTTTTAATTTTTTTTTGCCTCCAAAAGAGGCACCGGGTCTTATTTTCAGGGGATGTCTTACCTCCGGCACTGACAGCCCCGCCCAGCTGGCCCATTTCTTTTGGAGCCGAAGGAGCAGCTTCATTCTGCAGCTGCATTCCAGCCTGCATTTTGCAGTCAGGCCTTTCCAGAAGGCCTATGCAGCTGAGTACCTCAGCTGCAGAGGTCTTGCAGAACCGACCTATGGATTGAATCCATAGCTTGGTTCTCGGCTGCAGAGGCCTTCCGGAAAGCCCTGTGACTGAGAAATGCCGGCCTGGCTGCAGAAGACGCCACAGAAGAAATGAGCTGGCGAGGAGAGGCCTGGCTGCAAGGTAAGTGAGTGCGGGGTGCATGGGGCAGATCCACCCCCCACCCCGCCCTAGCTTGATTTTTAAGTGGGTGCCTTGCCCCAAAACTAGGGCTTATTTTGGGAGTAGGGCTTATATTAGGCCTACACCCAAAAATCAAGCTAGGGCTTATTTTTGGAGTAGGCCTTACTTTCAGGGAAACACGGTATGTATGCTACAGGTATACAATGAAAGAATACAGTATGAGCTGAATCATAACACTTCTACAAAATTTTATAATAGCCATTGTACAGGTAGTCCTCACAACAGTTCATTTAGTTACTGTTCAAAGTTACAACGGCAATAAAAAAGAGACTTTTGACCATTTTTCATACCTACGATCATTGCAGCATCCCCATGGTCACATGATCAAAATTCAGCCTCTGTCATATTTATGACAGTTGCAATGTCCTGGGATCATGTGATCATCTTTTGCGACCTTCTGACAAGTAAAATCAACGGGGAAGCTAGATTCACTCAATAACCATGTAACTAATTTAACTGCTGCAGTGATTCACTTAATGCTGACAAGAAAGGTAAAATGGGACAAAACTTACTTAACAACCGAATGTTTGGGCTCAATTGTAGTCATACGTTGAGGACTGTCTGTATACATGTGTGTGATATACTAGTGTTAGATTGTATTAAGGAACCATTCACTGCATTCTGTCTTATCATTCAATCCTAAAATTGTATACAGTCTCCAAAATACTTGAGCCAAACAATGTCAGAAATCACATGCTTGTTTAGAAACATTCAATTTGAGAAAAGTCACCCTTAAAATGTATCAGCACTAAGATAACTTTTGCTGGAATGCATCTCTCAGGCCTACAGTCAGTTTTTTACAGGTTTTTTCCCCTTTAAAAGCAATGATAGGGTGGGATGCAATAGAACATTTATAGTGAAAAGTTCACAAATCTCACCAAATTGAGAGGTAACTCTGTTTTGTTAAATAAACCTCATCTGGCTGGGTTCACAAGACACACTAAGCTGATTTAATGGTAAAATCGGCTATGCAATTTATAAATCGGTTAACTACAGTTTATTAACCACAATGACTAGGTTTGCCCAATATGCAGAGTGTAAAACAAACAACAAACAACATTATTAATGTGATAAATGAATCCAACCATTCTGTTTCAGACTTTCAACAATTGTTTCTTGAAGTTGTTTTTCTCTGTATGTATTATATTATGAATATTACTGGTAGAGACTATATTTAAACTCTGAATAGTATTAAAAATTATTTGATAATGTTGATTTGTTAACCTTTTATTATAGATGATGGCAGCTTCCCACTGAGGAGTAAACATTCAGGATCAATGACACAGGTAATGTATTTATCATTTTATAGCATGTAATCAACCAGACACAATCAGTTATTCTAATATATACATTAGAAGAAACAAAAAGATTCACCAATTTTGTTCATTGCAGAGTTAAAAATTACTTTTCCTAATATGTTAATTTATTGCATTAAAGTAATTTGTTTAAGTTTATTAAATGATGTGTATAGAGTTCATTGGATAGACAGTGTTGTTTTCTCAGTAACACTAGAAAGTTTAAAGCTTACATGCATATTATTTCTTTGTTTTCAAAGCTGGAAGGACAAGCTGGACAGTGGTGTGATGCTCTTCATGATTTTACAGCAGAAACACAGGAAGATTTATCATTTAAAAAAGGAGATTGTATCTTAATATTAGAACAACTGGATTCAGAATGGTATAGAGGAAGGCTAAATGGAAAGGAAGGCATTTTCCCAGCTGTGTTTGTTCATGTTTGTTCAGGTATAGTGCTGAAAGAAAAATGGAACTGTTTTCATCCTGTTGTACAGGCTATAAAGATACAGGTGGTCCTTGATTTCCAACTGTCATTGAACCACAATTTCTGTTGTGCGTCATGATGATCATAAAGTTGCTCAATTTTACAACCTTTTTAGCAACTGTTATTAAGGGAATATGATATTGTGTTTCTCCGGAAATAAGACCTATCCCGAAAATAAGTCCTAGTTTGATTTTTACGTGTATGCCTAATATACCATATTTCCCTGAAAATAAGACCCAGTCTTGCCTCCAAAAGAGGCAATAGGTCTTATTTTCAAGGGGTGTCATTTCCATGGTGTCATCTTGTGGCGGTGACCCTGACTGCCCTACCCAGCCGGCCCACTTCTTCTGCAGCTGAAGGAAATGCCTCTGCAGCTGAGAATGGAGCTCCATATTGACGCATGCTGCACCCCCCGCCCAGCCTGCATTTTGCCATCAGAAGCCTTCCGGAAAGACCTCATGGCAAAATGCTGGCTGGCGGGCACCACAGAAGAAGTGGGCCGGCGAGGCAACTCAGGTGTCAATTCATGGGAGGCCTGGCTGCAATGGAAGCAGGGTGTGGCCACGTGGGACAGCTCCACCTCCCCGACCCCCGCCCTAGCTTGATTTTTAGGCTTGCGCCTTGCCCCCAAACTAGGGCTTATTTTTGGGGTAGGGCTTATATTAAGTCCACCCAACAAAATCAAGCTAGGGCTTATTTTCGGAGTAAGTCTTACTTTTGGGGAGACATGGTAAGACCTGCTCCCAAAATAAGCCCTAGTTTGGGGGCAAGGCACGCGCTAGGCTGGGGGTGGGGGCGTAGAGCTGCCCTATGTTCCCTGCATCTGCTTACTTTAGGACCACTGCAGCCAGGCCTCCTATGCACCGACACCTGTCACTCTGCTCTTGAATTCTGCAGCCACTTGCGACTGGATGCCATGTGGCGCATTGCACTGGTGCAGCAGGATGCCGCGTGGCTCGTCACACTGGTGCCACTGCTTGCGGCAGGAGGCCACCAGTGGCAGCACCGGTGCGATGCTCTTTGTAGCATCCTACCATGAGCGATGGTACCAGCGCCCTGCCCCGCGTGTCCTCCTACCGTGAGTGGTGGCATTGGCACAATACACCAGACAGCAGCACGACAGGTGTCAGTGCACAGGAGGTCCTAAGGTAAGTGGGTAAGACATCCCCTGAAAATAATCCCTAGTGCTTATTTTGGAGCCCAAAAGAAAATAAGACTTATTTTGGGGGAAACATGGTCATAAAATGAATACTGTGGTTATAAAGCAACCACTGTGGTTGTAAAGCAACCACTGCAATTGTAAAGGAAACATCGGGTTGTAAAGTGAACTCATTGTTCGCTAAAATATGTGTTTGGCCAGAAATGAAATAAATGGCGGTTGCTGAAAAAAAACACAAATTGCAATCATGAATGCAAAGTGCTGCAAACAGCCAGAAATGCAAGCTGGTTGTCAAGTGCTCTGCATGTGATTGTGTACAGGGATGTGCTCCCCTGTACATGGGAACTTCCCCATGGACAGGGAAGGTACATGGTGATATGATCTATGCAAATACAATTTTTAAAACATTCCTATTTTAATATTTAAGCCTGTGCTCATTTTGATGATGGAAACAAAAATAAGTCTCCCAATATTCTGTGGAAGTATTTAGTAGTATACTATTGATGATAAAAAAAATATTCTCATGCATATGAATCACTATACAGCAAAAAACTCTTAGAAATCCCTAGATTAGTAGATATGCTTTTGAACAAAATGTTTTGGCCGAAAAAAAGATCATACAAACTATCATTTTTACAGTATTTACAGATACCCTTGAAATTTTCAATTGAGGAATGTCCAAGGTGTCTGAAGAAAATGGGATGCAGTATTGAGAGCTCTGAGACTTACTGTTGTTCTGCTAAACTCTTAAGTCATGAAGACTTTTATTTGTTTCTCTTTTCATTTGTTCTTTTTTTCTTATTATTTTAAATGACTATTAAGCAAAAGAAATTTTGCAGTGCCTTACAGTTTGAAGCAAATATCTTTCAAACAGACTGAAAGTAAGCTTATTTTGTGTAGTGTTTAAACTGACAGCTTTAATTAATTGTGGGGTTTGGCTAGGAGTTTCTTTTTCATTCTTCTCAGAAAAGATATGTAAAATTTCTGAAGAAATCTGCATTCTTGCCGTGTTGGACTTGGTATCTCAAAAACAGTATGCAGAACAACAAATTATTTGCTGAGGTAGAATTACAAAGTTAGACTGCTATACTATACGTTTGTAATATGCAAACACAATGTTAGTATTTATAAGCTTACTTGGATTCTAAAAGTTCTGGCATTCAGTTTGGTGTGGTGATCAAGGTGCTGGCCTAGAAACCAGGAGACGGTGAATTTAGTCCTACTCTAGGCATGCGGCTGGCTGGGTGACTTTTGGCCAGTCACTCTCTCTCAGCCCAATCTACTGTATAGGTCAGGGGTAGGCAACCTTGGCTCTTTTATGACTCATGGACTTCAACTCCGGCTCAGGAATGGTGGCAGTTGAAGTCCACAAGTCATAAAAGAGCCAAGGTTGCCTACCCCTGGTATAGGTTGTTGTTGTGGGGAAAATAAGAGGAGGAAGGAGTATTAGATATGATCACTGCTTTGAGTTACTTACAAAGTAATAAAGGCGGGATAAAAATCAAATAAGTAAATTCTCTGTGATACAAGTAGCATATACTGTAACTATCTCACATACTTGCAAAAGATCATCATCATCATCATAAATGCTGTCTCTGCCATTTCATATAGAAAAGCATGATGATATCCACAGTCTGCCCTCATAAATTACGTAGAATATAATAGCTCATTTACTGTATTCTGGTAGTGTGGCTAGTGTACCTTGTAACCTGATCATGAGCATACCCTGGTGGTAAAATCTGGAATAATTTAAGAGGTCAATTAGAATCCTCCCAGTGACTTGATATTATTCCAAGGCAACTTTCTTTGTTAATTACCAAGGTAAGAAATGAAGATTTATGACATGAAAAAGTAATTAGTGCTTGCTTTTGTCCAATATAAGAATAATGGTTTTATTTCCCTTGGAAAATTTTAAAAAAGTATATTTTTATTCATATTTGATAATTACAAAAACATTTTGTTTTGTTTTTCAAAAATGCAAGTAGATATTTTTTCAAAGGAAAAAGGCATAAGTTAAACTTGCAGTGTGTGTGTCATGACAAAGAATTGTGTTGTTCATTCCCTTCAGTCAGTTAACCTCAAACCAGATTAAGATATTTGCAAAAAAAATAATATCTTATATTATCCCAAAGATAGAAATTTAATTGGATCATCATATCTTCCAGGTGGAATGCAATCATCACAACCTCAGGAAGGGAAGAAAGCAAAAGCTAAGGCCCTGTATGATTTTCATGCAGAGAACACAGATGAACTTTCTTTCAAAGTAAGCATATTTAAACATACAATTCTGCAGTGATATAGACATTAGATTTTATCGTTGTGAAAAATACTGCCCTGCATTTCTCCTGCAACATAAAAATTAGGGAAATTGTTGCAAAATGGTGTTTCTTTTGGGTTGGTGGTAAGCATCTTTTTTTTTATTCTGCAAAAAAATCTGTTTGAAAGAGAAGAGTTAAACAACCTACAGAAAAACCTACTGTTCAGTTTAAGGTTAACTTGATTTAGTGTGATGTATGAACCAGCCAGAACACAGTTTACTCTGTTTCTGTAATGAACTGAATGCAACTGAAAAGTGGGCTGGTATTCTACTATAACTGTTACTGCAATCCATAAAAAAAATACTTAAATGAAACTTAACCACTTATTTTTTTCCTCTAAGAAATTGTCTTTCTCATATAGGGATTATCTAACTGCAAAGCTTCTAGCTGTCCCAACTTTTTCTAAAGAATATGAGGCCTACTGTGAATTTTTTTCACTTGAGGCATTTTGTTCATCTAGTATAAAACACTGTTTACTTAATAATTTATAAGTATCACTTGGGAGAAGAAAGAGTCTACTGTTTTTAAGAGTATTAAGTATATGTGAAGGATATTATGAAAAACAAATAATGTTGGTTTCAATTTCTGTTTCAACAGGTTGGTGATATCATAACAAGTCTTGAATCTGTAGATGAAGAATGGATGAGTGGAGAATTACAAGGCAAATTTGGAATATTTCCAAAGAATTTTGTCCAAATTCTACATCTTTCCTGAGGTGAAATCCAATTCTGGAGCATTGTTTTACAAGTGAATATGCTGGAAGAGAAGCACGTTGTATTCTTGATGGCAGAAAAAGAGTGCTACCTGTGATCATTTTATCTAGACTATCAAATGCATTTTTGCACTATTTTTGTAAAATGTTTACTAGACTGTACAATATTTTGTTTTTAGTTTATATTGAGCAGACCCTGAGCAGAATTTTTTTAAAAACAAAAGGAATACAAAGCCTTATTATTTAAACTTGGTGCATTTCAATCATTTTACATTCTTCCTGTGGGGGCACAATGGCTCATCAGTTAAAGACGCTGAGCTTGTCAGCTGGAAACCTGACAGCCCGGGTTTGAGACCCCAGTGCCATGACATGGGGTGAGCTCCTGTTACCTGCCCCAGATCCTGCCCACCTAGCAGTTAGAAATCATGCAAAGGCAAGTAGATAAATAGGGACCACTTCAGTGGGAAGGTAACAGCATTCTGTGTGCCTCAGCAAGCAGTCATGCTGGCCACATGACCATGGAAATGTCTTCGGACAACGCTGGCTCCCTTGGCTAAGAAATGGAGATGGGTACCGCCCCCTACAGTCAGACACAATTGGACAGGGGAAACCTTTACCTTTACTTTTTATTCTTTATGTGAAGTCCAATTAATTATTACACTGCTCAAGTAGGGTTTTTTTTTACGATACATATCCCACACTATAGTTTGTGAGTCAAGTTTTCAGAAACTGAAATGTTTTACCATGTGAAAACATTAAATCCTGATACATAAACAAGATTATCACAGTAAAACGTTCGGGGGTTTTTCTTTACTTAAACCAAGTAAGTTAAGTTGTTTAAGAATGCATCAATTACTTTTAGTCTGGATTCAAGTATCCTGAAACAACTGGATGCTATGGATTTACGTGCCTTAGACTAGGGAAGACCATTAGTCTGTTTGATCCAGTTTTCTATCCTAGCTACTAATGGCTCTCCAGGATCTTTCAAACAGTGCTGAGTCCCAATATTTGCCGCCTGTCCTTTTTTAATGGGTAAGTGCAAGATATATACAAGAGAGCTGGGCAAAGCAATTGAAGAGGATGATTGTAATGTTCAGCAGGTGCAAAATGCCTGCTCTGATTAAAAGTACCCACAGTTTTTGCAAGCCTCATACTACACATGCACATGCTTTAACACTTTGCGCAATCATAATGTATAATAACTGTATATATTTTATGATAAGAAAGGCTGGTAACTTTTCTTATTCTCAGCAAATAAAATTAGACTTTTAGAGATTTCTTTCTTTCTACAGCCAATGGGTTGTGTTGTGTCATAAATCTTAATTTATATCTAGAGTAACTTTTCAAAGATTCATCTTTCTTCTTGGATCCTTTTTTTTAATCTGATATCATTTTGGATCTTTTAAATTCTGTGATGCTCCCTATTGCCTTATTTTTATCAAATCTATTGTCAGAAATTAAGTATGTTCAGAAAACTATCAATGATGTGATGGAAGAATATGTTTCATGGGTCTTGCTGCCATGACTATCTTATAAGAATAGATATTATTATAAACTTATACTACAGCCTGTATTGTCTTGTTATCTCCATCTCCAACTTTGTAAATGTAATTTAACGTAAAAAGTGCATCTTGACATTAAACTTAGAAGTCCCATTTTTGCCCCATATTCTTAAGACTGCATTCTTTAAAAATGCTGATATCGTGTCAGTTTTGCCATAAATTAATATTAAATGTTTATAAATCTGATAGTGGCAAAAGATAAACCTAAAACATAGTTCCTCCTATCTCTCAAGACTTGAGTAAAAAGTGCTCCAAATCCATTCTTTCTTTTTCTAATACCACTATTACATTTTGACTTTTCACTTTGTGGCCTTGATGGAGGGGGTGAAACAGTACTCAAGCACATAATCACAGCTTTGCCTATACTTGGTTGAAACCTTACTTTTGTGTGTAAGAGATGATTAACAAGAATAAATAATGAAAGTTATAGTAAAACTATCATGGTGAACAAACCTAATCCCAAAGGATGAAAAAGGAGAATTCCTGTTTTTCTCTCCAAACTCTTATCTTTTTGATAGTAGTAGGATGGGGGGGGGAGCATGCTGGAACAGCTTCCCTTTGCAGACCTCTTACACTCTTCTTTTCCAGAACTAATAGCTAGCTGCTAAGCCATAAAATACATAGCTGCCTGTATTCAGAAGCCAGCTTCTCATTGTGATAAGCAGGCTTACTGCAGTTATTTCTGGTTTGCAAGGAGTGCTTTGATCACAATCCACCCATACTGTTAATTAGGGCAGACTTTAAACCAAAATACACTTTGGTTTGAAGTTTAGCATATTGTGCAAATCAAATTTTCTGTATTTTAGAGGTCAAAAGCAATGAAAAAACTTGCATTTTGCTTTTGATTCAATGAATGTGTTGCTCATTCATAAAACGGTAGTTTACTATTTTAATTTTTTAAAGCTTCTTTTATACATGCTTTTTGTACACAATGGCGTACTTTGGCACTTATAAAGGCTATTGATGTCGTTGGACAGTCACTAATATTAATCAAAATTTCTATTTAAAAACGAGGAAAATACACATTGTTCAGGTAATTGACTTTGAATGTTATCTTGTTCCCTAGTTGTGGTAATTCTTTAAGAATAAAATAGTTACATGATATAAAAATGGTTAAATAATCAAAATTCAGCTTTCCATTAGGGCGATGTAAGAGCTGAAGTACATGAAAATAGTATTATTATCAAGTACAGTAATGTGCAATTGGTTAGTGAAGGCAGAACCAACCCACTATTCACAACGGCAACCTTTGTTGTCATCTCATATTTTGCTGTTTTTTTTAAGGAATGATGAATAATTTTTTGTTGTATGTCAGATGCAGTATTTAGGCTTTTGAGGGTCATTGCAAGTGCTGTCTGAAAACCAATGTCTACCAGATTGAATGCAATGCTTGTTAAAAATCACTTTCATAATTTTTTTTACTCCTATATTTTGTATTTTTCCATATTCATTCTCAACATGTAATTTTCAAGTGATTGAGAAATACTTGTTTTATGTTACTAATGAAAATGCACTAATATCTTTTTTCTACATTAATAAATATGCCTTTTATATTTATCGTTGTTTAAAGTAAGCAAGCATTCACCTGAGCAAGCTTTGTTATCTTACCAATCTATGTATACAGATTGCCAAATACAGCTACTTCACTTGAAGAGTGCCATCTAAAGGGTTTTTAATAGTGTTAATAATGTAGATAAATACTAATGACATTCCCATTTAAGAAACTGGCAGTAGTTTCTAGAATGTGGCCATAAAGTATTATAGATCACATGCTATAAGATTCTCAAATGAATAGAAGTACAGCAGTTAGCTGAAGATACAAACACTATATTATATATACAGTATAAAATGTGAACCAGGTTATTATAGTAGCTATTTAATCTCCAAATCAGTTTAATAAATTTTCTTCAAGATTACACAGATCTGTACAAAAATACTTTTGCTTTGGGAAATATTAATTAAAATGTTCCTCAGCTTTATGGCATTTGTATATAACCAATAAATGTGTTTGTTGCAAACAATGAACTGTGCAAACTGGAATGAAATTTATCATAAATGAACGCAGTTTTAAAAACTTCACAATTAAAGGAAGTTTTCTTCCGTTTGATTTAATGCATTTAAATTTTACACATTCTCTAAGGCCCGAACTGATTGGGAATCAAAGCCCAGAACCAGTAGCTGACAGATTAGTGGCACCAAGGTAGCACAATATTGCTAGTGTACTGGTTGAGACCCATATTCAAGATCCTTTCTCTACCTGACTACATGTTGGTCAACTTTGGATTCATTGCCTCTCTAAATCCAACATAGCAGAGTTGTTGGGAGGGGTAATACTTAATTGGGAGTATTATGTATGAGGTCTTGAACTTTCAGAAAAAGGGAAAGACATAAATGCAGCAAAATAGGGCTGTGGTTTTAAAAACTATCAATGTGAAATGGAAATTCTCCATTTCTCCATCTGTATAAATAAGACTAAAGGCATTATTTGAATATAATGTAAAATAAACCCACTGAAATTGGTTTACCATTTCTACTAGATTTTTTAAAACTCTGCCTTGAAAATGTTTTAAAACCTTTAGATCCTCACAATAGAAGCTGCAATAATAATTAAAAAAATCTCAATACCCCTTTCCAGAATACTTTATCTCCCCTCTCCATATTACCAGTTTAGTACTTCTTTTTGTATAAGAGTGGACACTTCCTTAGGTCCTGCTGAACATTTTATACAAACTCATCTCTTGGCTTAGAAAGCTCGAGATACTTACAACAGCCTATTCTAGTCATGTTTTAAACACTTTTTATTCAATGAGATTTTTCCATAGAAGCACCATAGACTTGATTAGGCTAAGCTCAACAATGAAGGAATTTAGCTGAAAATATTTAAGTGTACTGGAATGAAGTTTAAATGTTTCTTGCACTGCTTCAAACATGTAAAATCATATGGCATCCTACATGAAGGCCATGAGCTCCTGCACTGGGATAAGGAATGAGATGACTGGAAGGGTCTTGATACATCCAGAACTATTATCCATGGATTTTCAGGAATTCAGTCTTCCACTTAGTTCACATCATTCAAGAATCATGCATGTCTTTACTGAACATTTTTTGCGTGTGCTGTCAGTTTTGACTCCTAGCTGCTGCCTGGACACATCCCTGTAACTTTCTTGGCAAGATTTCCAGAAGCGTTTTGCCACTGCCACCTTCCTAGAGTTCAGAGTGTATAACTGGCCCTCACTGGGCTGGACTCATGTCTAAGGCAAGACTAGAATTGGGAGTTCCGGTAGAGTTAATCTTCATTTAAATTGGTGAGGGAGGGCCTTGCACTAAAGTTTGCCAACTTAAAAAGTGTAACCTAGCGATTAGTCTGTATTAAGTTACACTTCTCATAAAGGATCGATTTTGCAATGTGAGGAAACATTTTCCAGTAGTTACAGCTCAATACATTAGCTATACCTTTTGTGCAGTCACTCATAGCCTGGTGATCTCCTAGTTCAATTACTCAACTACATAGGGCTACCCTTGAGTATCTGGAAGCTACAACTGGTACAAAAAGCAACATGAGCTGCGCTGATTTCTGGTTTGCTTCCAGGTCCAATTCAAGCTGTTGGGCCATCTTTGAAGCCCTTTATGGTATGGGACAAGGTTATCTGAGGAACCACCTTGCACAATAGGACTAACCCGTCCTACTCGTTCCAGTGGAAAGGGCCTACTTCTAAAAAAATTCTAAAGAATTCC